ACGCATGAGGCTCCTACGGTTGCAGGTCTAACGGCTTCGGGTTCTACAGCTGAGGGCCTATTGGATGCACGTACTACGCGTGCGTCTTCGGGTCCATCGGCTGAGGGTCCTACGGCTGCGGGTCCTAAAGCCGCTGGTCCTACGGCCGCGGGTCCTACGGCCGCGGGTCCTACGGCCGCGGGTCCTACGGCCGCGGGTCACACGGCCGCGGGGCCTACGGCCGCGGGTCCTATGGATGCATCTTCTAAGGCTTCAGGTTCTACTGTCACCTTTGCAACAGGTATAAGGGATTGTGAAACTCAAAAGCGAGCAAAGCACATCGTGTTATAATTAAATAAATAAAAAAAACCCAGCAAATGTGTCAGAGGGAATTTCTGCATAAAAAATCTGCAACAATACAAAACATGGACATTACACCAACAATTCGTTGTCCACTGTCTGTAACACTAGCGAAAATAATTAGATAGAAGGACGTACTTCGGACCAAAAAAACACGTGTGAGCTAAATACCTGAATTCAAAATTGTTTTCTTCCAGGATTAAAAGAACAATATCGGTCGTCAATGTCTTTTGACATCTTTTGAAAATCATTACTTTTGTCATGAACGGAAAGTGAAAAAGTTCAAAACAGAGCTGCAAATTTTCTTTAGTGCTTACAACGTTAGTTACTACTCTCTATATTCATATTTATCTTTTTCTTTAGACGTCTTCGTCAGATGCAACGCAAAGCGTAATCAAGCGCAATTCCCCGCCCACTATGAAACTGCCCCGACGAAATGGCGCCCTCAGCCGGGATTGTGCATCCACAACCACGTGATCACAGCAGGCACAGTGCGCAACGCCGTCATCTGTGCAACTTGGTGCCTCGATGACCCCAGATGTCGCTCGTTCAACTATGTAGCCAGTGAGCAACGATGCGAGATGAGTGACGTCACCATGATGGAGGTGGAAGACGGCAACCTCGTTTCAGACGCCGGTTGCATCGTCTACGATCCATCCCAATACACTGTAAAACCTGGTGTCTAATTTTTTTAACACATTATGAATAGCTAAATGCGGTACCGTCGGTGAAGGGCAAAAACCTAATATTGATTTACATCACCCGACGCAAAATTCCATCGTATGAACACTACATTAAACATGCAGTGGATGAATATTTAACGCTTAAAAGGGGAGAGTCGAGAAAGGCGTAGTCTTAAGTTTGATTCGATTTGTATACACACAAAAAAGTCCCAGACAGCCGGTTGAAGTTTTGTAGCAGCTTTTTAACTGAAATTTGAGTGATTTTCAGAGACAAAATATATATATAAACACTCCTTTAACACTGTATAAACGCCTCGTGAACGGATATGTTTAGAAACACTCGACATCGTATTAAACTTTCAAGCGCTCATATCTTGTGCTTAAGAGTAACTTGAATATCATGTGCCACATGGCATAATGAATCCGACTCAAGATTGAGCTTTCCAATTGCGTCTCTCCCCTTAACGCGTTAAAATGTTAACTGTTAACTGTTGCAAAAAGCGTATATAATGTTCACAAGTTGAAAACTAGGTGTAGCTACAGTGTAACTACATTGCATGTTCCTGGGTTTAAATGTATTATTAAATAATTATTTCAGTGTCAGGTTATCTGAAGTAAAACATTAATATCTTTTGCACACATTTAACTGAAACAGTTTTTACACACATTAATTCTTTTCACAAAGTGAGGAATATTCACCTGCTTTATGACTGTCAAGAAGATTGCAGTTATTTATTTCAAGACGCTCCTGGGCACGCTGTCATTGCCGACCTAACATATGAAGGGAACATTCTGAGCTATATAGCTTTCAGCTTTAAAAATAAAAAAGACTATGCAAAGGATACTTCACTCATAGTTGTATTTTAATGACATTTACACACCAAGAATGCAAAGTAAACTTGTGGCCGGCCAACCTCGCCTGTCCTGCCATCAAATAAATAAAAGTACCCTTACTCGATACCCGATACCGATCCAAATGCTTACATTAATTATTCTATAAAAGTAATCGTTTCTAGAGCCGGAGAGCATGCACGTGGTAAACCGAATCATGTTAATCTCACTTCAAGGAAATGTTTGTAGATGTATATATTATAAAAGTTGTTATGTCGTTGATACTGTACTGAGGTACCTCTCTTATCAAACATTTAAATGGTACGCGTATTATCATTGTGATAGATTTCTCGGTCACATTAAAGTCTTATTGTGAAAGTTCTTCAATCATTTTCGTAAGAATTCTAGAGAGAATCTAAACATTCCTATATTGACTAATTGGGGAACCGACGACAAAGGGCTGGATAGCTCAGTTGGTTAGACCGCCGAAACGGTTATCCGGACGTCGCAGGTTCAAGCCTCGCTCCAGTCAATTACCTTATTCAATTTTTCAAATAAAATATTGCACGGTTTGATTCGATTAAGGCCTTATTTGTCTGTTTGCGTTTTCTTTGGCGGAGAAAGTCACAACCTTTACCTTTTTGATGAATTGCACGATTCAACAACATTTTAGTTGCCTGATGTGGGGCGAGATTTCGGACGTCACTCAGATGTACAACTCAGATGGTGTTCCCAGCTTATGAACGTAAACCTCAGTGTCATATAACATAATTCTAAAATGAATGGCAACAGAGGCGGATCCAGGATTTTTTTGCAAATACCCACCTTACCCCCGCTGGCTATACCTTTGTGTCCGAGTGTCCGACCCCATCCCCTAACACCACCCCACCCCTAGATCCGCGCCTGGGCAATATCATTTTGTTAAATGAGCTATAAAGTGTTCGATGGCGGCGCGCTTCACGCAACCAGAACGTGTGTATATCTAGAGTTACGACATGAGGTTTGCCAGTTCTTTTTGTCACGCGGTCTATCGACGCCAATTTGGGTACAACAGTAATACACTGTGAGAGAACGTGTACACGCGTTTCCATGCATGATGTGCAACTATTGGTATCCCAGTGTCTTTCACTGCATCCTGGAATACGTCCAATTGGCAAAACACGTTTTGAACGAAATGATGTTAATCGGAAAGAACATTTAAAAGTAGGATATAAACATCCACACGATCATATCCTTTAAAAACTGGGGGTTATTCTTGCGAGAGCAACTTCCGGGGTCCACTTTTGCCACCCCAAAGTCGGGCTGTTAATCGGGTGATTGGTCACCGCTGTTCGTGAGCACGGTGCCGTGAGTTTGTTTCTGCATTCAATTAGTGACGCAGAAAGGGGACAATATATAGGGTCCCCAATTCGGGCGATTCACAATACAATACGCCACCAAGAGTTTGCCAAGGAGAGTTCATTTTTTCAACTTCGCAGGGACATTTGAAATTGTTCGTAAGCGTATGATTCGAGTATCTGTTTGCCCATTTCTTCCTTTTTTATCAATATGGTGTTTTTTGTAAGGCGGCAGAACACTATGCCCTAATCTATAATATATTATCTCAAGTTGTCTACTGACACTCATTCAAATGGGCCATGATTTGTCGACCGTAAACATGAAAAAAGGACTCTCCATGGCAAACTCTTGGCGGCGCACTGCATTGTGAATCGCCCGAATTCACCAGAGGTCCCCAATTTGGATTCGTGTACAAAACATATGGGAGGTCTTCCTAAAAAGTTAGAGCACAATAAAGAGGGACAATGGGGGGGGGGGGGGGGGGGGGGGGTTTCCCTGATTGCAGGCAAATACACACTTGTGTGTACGTGTGTAATACTAGACACACAACGTGTATCGTACATTGTTTGAAAACGACAGGAAACACGCAACATACTCCGTCGTGTCCGATGTTAACAATCGGTTTTTTTCCCCCCGTCTTTTCTCGGAAACGGTTAGATATTAGGTTGGTTTCCTTCCATTTCTTTTCTCCAAAGAAGTAAGTGCATGCGTCAGTTCTCAAACTGAACTTTAATTTTGTTCCTTCCTTCAGATGGACTTGATTAAACACAATTTAAGAAAGAACATTCACCTTCATTATCATTATTATTTATTTCTGGTAATGAAACCAAGGATTCCTCATGAGCGCCCTAGGCACAGTAGCTCCCAAGCCTGAAGAAACCCGCAGAGAGGAGAAAATGAGAAGAAATTACAGTTTTAGAGGGTGGGAGGACAACCCACGGAATCAGGTATGGACTGAAAACCCAGTCCGCATGTTGGCGGGATCGGAACCAGGCGGGAATCACAGCGACTGTAGCTTGCGAACAAAAACAAATGCGTAGGTTCAGTTCGCTCGTAATCATCCATCTTCTCATTAATCAAAGTGCTATATGCACCATTAATTTCTGATACAAATTGTCTGTGATGGAAAAGAAGATGTTGCAAAGCACCCTGGGTACCACTTGACGATTAATGCATGTGCCACTTTCTGCGCTTGTGTCGAGCGAATGAGAAAGTGCGAACACTCGGTCACCGGTACATATAACATTTATGAGAAACTCACAGAAATAATTGCAGGCCACCACCAAAGTGCCTACAGCATCACTTACGTTTGCTACCAAAGTGACGTACTGAATTATTACCAAACAGCTTACTTCTAGGTTCAGTGGCGGAAAGACTAAAAAAAAAATTCGCGGCTGTCAACCAAGATGGGACCCTCATACGGTGCCGTCCGGTCCAAATAATTGATGAGAATGTAAGCCATGGCCTGCACTTAAGCACTTAAATTGATTCAATTTTAATGATATAGATACACCCGACCTCGGATTCAATTTAGTATTTAGTATTAAATAGATCGACAGAAGGTCTTGGTTCCCGTGGAAAACGTCCATCAGTCGTTTTATGCAACACCAGAATGCCTGGGTGTATTAGTGTTCCCTCTAAACTGCTGCATTTTTAATTTGCATTTGCAACGCCATTTGTAACGGATGAATAAGTTATGTGGCTGAATCCCTAACGAGGACAAGCAATTACTTAAACGGGTCAACTAGGCATTCAACAAGCCAATTAAAAGCAACCCATAACCCTGGAGCGTTAGTCAACCACTTTTATTCCATGTCGAGCATTTCTCTCTTTGGCGCACCTGTTGGTGTGAGGGGTCCACTGGTAAGCAGTATGGCTGCTCTCAGCTCGATATTGTTTGCAACTCTCATGGCTGTTACGTGTACATCTGGGGGTAAGCATTTGATGTTTTGCTTTGTTATGAATTGGTGTTTCTCTTCACTTATTGGCGTAAGCGTTCAATGCTTAAAACGGTGTCAGTATTATGGCAATAGATCTCATCCAAGTCCTGGTCGTGCACTCAGCCATAGACAAGGGTGGCATTCATAGATCAGACGAGACCTCATTTTCTCGAGGAGGGGATGCACTTGTTTCGGTTAAGGTTCCAATAAATTAACTCCAGTTCTTTACATGTCCCAGCTCTATAATGACCCACCGCCGCGGCAGAGACATCCTAAGAGGTCCTATGCCGCGTATCACGCTACCTGCACTATAAAACACACTGAATGGTGAGGGTAAGGGCCTTATGGACCATTCTCCTCTAAAGCAATGATGAATGTACGTTTCAACAGTGTCAAAAAGCATATAACCCGTGCAACCTTCTCTCTCTTACTCAGTTCCCAATTAGTTCAGAGATAATACAGCGACAATATGCCGAAGACCTGGGGGATATTTGACAACGGTCTGAAAGTTGTTGCATGACTCAGTTACTATATGTTTCCCCCTGTCGTTTTCAGAATTGCAATGCATTGGACCTTACTTCCACAAGTTCGGTGACGCGTGCTTTGCAGTCAGCAGTGGCAGCCAGGGATTTGGAGTGAGCGATCAGACATGGCAAGATGCCTCTTACATATGCGGCAACATGAGCGCTCAGCTGCTAATCACAAACACACAGCAGCAATTCGATGATGCCGTCTCATTCATGGCATCTGGTAGTGGTGTGCGGTTTACATGGATTGGATGCACATCACTGTCGGGGGCCAACTACACTTGCGAGGATAACAAGGCATATTACTACGCAGCCGCAGAGTTCGATGGTTTCTGGGGTAAGTTGGTAGCGTTTTTCTGTTTTGCGTCTTAAGACACGATACTGGAAAATGCCAACGAAGCTTTGCAACTGGATTATTTATTGACCTAGAAACAGTGTGGTGATAAAATTTTCCATGTGGATTCACGGTGTGATTTTTTTGGTCACTCAACTCCGGGGGTTAAAAAGAAGAAGAACTATATGAACATATCGCGGTAGAATCGCGTTAACGCTGCTTGTGAAATTCTTGTCGAATAACGTGATATACAAAATAGACGCGGAAAGCGCACAACCTGAGACAAACACAACTTAACGCACATAATCCCATAATTGCCCATTATGTGCCCAATGAAATAGCCAGATAATAATGATGATAAAGACGACTCTTTTAGCTGAACAAAATCCAACACATTCACTTCTCGAGATCATTAGAAATATTGCCAGTGCTAGAGATGTATCAGGTCGCTGCCCGAGTCACAATTAAATTTACAGGACCCATGCTAACTTGCTATCGAAACATTTTCTTTTCCAGAATGGGCAGCAAACAATCCAAGTCCGATTTATATCACCAAAAGGTGTGCTTATATATACCTAGACCTAGCTGTGATGATAGAGAATGTGTGCACCATCAAAAATGCCTTTGTGTGCGAAAAACCCGCTGTTGAGATAACATCCGCATCCCCTGCCACCATGAAGACCACTGCACTACCAACGACTTATCCGGGGCTATTTTCTCCAAAAGGCGTCACGAAGGCAATTTCTGATACGGTTGCAGTTTCCACGGCCGCAATATCTACGGGTGCTATTCTGACGGCGGCAAGTCCTACGGATGAGGCTCCTACAGATGCAGGTCCTACGGCTGCGGGCCCTACAGTTGCGGGTCCTATGTATGAAGGTACTACGGCTGCAGGTCCAACCGATGCTGATCCTATGGATACAGGTCCTACTGATGCGGATCCTACATATGAGGGTCATGTGGATGCAGATACTACGGCTGCGGGTACCAAGGCTGCGGGTCATACGGCTGCAGGCCCTACGGCCGCAATATCTACTGCTGCAATTCCGACGGCGGCAAGTCCTACGGATGAGGCTCCTACAGATGCAGGTCCTACGGCTGCGGGCCCTACGGTTGCGGGTCCTATTGATGCAGGTACTACGGCTGCAGGTCCAACCGATGCTGATCCTACTGATACAGATCCTACAGATGAGGGGCATATGGATGCAGGTGCTACGGCTGCGGGTACAACGGCTGTGGGTCCTACGGCTGCAGGCCCTACGGCCGCAATATCTACGGCCGCTATTCCCACGTCGGCAGGTCCTTCGGCTGCCGGTCTTACATCTTCAGGTCCTACTGTTGCGGGTCCTACGGATGAGGCTCCTACAGATGCAGGTCCTACGGTTGTGAGTCCCATGGATGCAGGTACTACGGCTGCAGGTCCAACCGGTGCAGATACTGTGGATGCAGGTCCTACAGATTTGGATCCTACGGATGAGGATCCAATAGATACATCTTTTACGGATTCGAGTTCTACTGTCACCTTTGCGACAGGTATGAGGCAGTGGGAAACACAAAAGCTACCAAAGCACATCGTTTGTAATTAAATAAAAAAAAAACATGTGGTCAGAGGAAATTGTGACATTTTTAGTCTGCGACAAAAGGAAATGTGGACTTCACATCAGAAAAGGATTCGTTAAGACAATGAATACACAACCAAAAACATCTAATTGTGTTCAAATATTACTATCAAAATCTGGAAATTGACCCGTTAAAAGAATGCTCATTACAGGCCTTGGCTTGACACCATCTTGTTTCAGATAACTTGTTATACCAGGTTGATGGTGTTTTGTCAGTGTCACCTCAGCCCACCCAGTTATTATGTCGAAGTCCGCAGTCTGAAACACCGGGGAAGATAATTAGGTGGAAGGAAATGCTTATTTTGATGAAAGAACACCCAAATGTAATAATAATTGTTTCATTCCAGGTATTTAAGTAATGATAACTATAAAAGTCATTACTTTTTGTCTTGAGAAAGTGAAAAAAAGGTTTAAAACAGAGCACCAAAATGCTATTTAGTGCATACAACGTTTTGGTTTTTCTGATGCAAAGTTACTCTCTATGTTATGTTTTTTTCTTTTTCTTTAGACGTCTTGGTAAGATGCAACGCAAAGCGTAATCAAGTGCAATTCCCCGCCCACTATGAAACTGCCCCGACGAAATGGCACCCTCAGCCGGGATTGTGCATCCACAACCACGTGATCACAGCAGGCACAGTGCGCAACACCGTCATCTGTGCAACTTGGTGCCTCGATGACCCCAGATGTCGCTCGTTCAACTATGTAGCCAGTGAGCAACGATGCGAGATGAGTGACGTCACCATGATGGAGGTGGAAGACGGCAACCTCGTTTCAGACGCCAGTTGCATCGTCTTCGAGCCATCTCCATACGCAGTAAAACCTGGTGTTTGATTTATGAACACTTTCTGAACCTTTTTTTGTGTTGTAGTCCAGTCTGCACTTGTGTCGAGTCACTTGTGTCGAGTCCGTGTCAAATTCTCGAATCATTTGGTTTTGAGTCCGACTGCGAGACGCATTATTTTGTACGAAATGGATGTGCATGGACCTAAAGGCAAATACCAATGACCGATCGTGTTAAGTGATGCGCTGTTGCAGAAATTAGGGCTAATTAATTGGCATAGTATTTACAACACCAACTGGCGATTGGTGCGGTACAGTCAGCCCAGTCGCCAGCTCCAGGCATTTCCGGGGGGGGGGGGGCACACTAAGCTAGAGGGCACACCGCAAGAAAAAAAACACCCACTGTTGTAGAACGTTTTGTACGCTTATGGCTATTGCCGATGGGAGGGGGGGGGGTACTCTTCTCCCCTTCTTTAGCCACGGGCCGGGCCTGGTGGTAAAGTTTGTATGTTTACCGTTCTTTGGCGTGCTTTAAAATTTCTTTCGGAAAAACGACAACACAGAAATCAAACCTTTAATTGGGAAGTTTTTGGTGAAAACATATTTGACTGCCGATGTGACTCGAGTCGAGCCCAAGTAACGGAAATTGCTACTCGCGACGGGCTCGAGTGCGAATCCGTCTCGGGTATCTTGGTAAAAACAGTGAAGTAAAATTACTTAATTACTTAATTAATCCTTGGTAAAAATTATTTCGTGGTTATGTAGAACGACTACAATTTATCTTTCTTCTAGGTAAAGTGTTAATAAATGTTTAAATTTAAATTTAAACTATCATTAAATTATCAAAGTTTCTTTTATAAAATTAAGCTATGTCTCCTCAAAGATCTCCTTTCAGTGACTAGATCCAGAATGGCTTTCATCGCGCGAGACTCTTGCATTAGTGCTGGTCAAATCTAACTTTCTCCTGAAAAAAGGGAAACGAAAGAAAAATACTCCACTTAGAGTCGATTACAAAGTTATGGTACACCAAAAAAGAAAAGAAAAAAAGATTGATTGTTAGGGTTCTTGGAAAATAACTCAGAACACATGGCAATAGCTAAATATGAACGAACACACCGACAAGACCGGTTTTATTTAAATGGGAAGAATGCGCCGCAATATGACTCTCCTACATGTACAGAGTACGTGCATAACAACCCATGTAAAGTGCAGCATTATGGACAAATACATGATCGTCACTCCTGATTAAGTTTGTACATCTCCATTCTCCACTAAACGATTCGAATGTATTTGCCCGACAAAGAGGCCAGTAAATGATAGGCTTGAGTTAACTTGTTACCTTCGAACGTCTTGGTAACCACCTCGAATTCTAGGCTCATGCCGACGCCCGACTGCGTAAATTGGTTTTTAATTTCTCGTTGCTGAAAAGTATGCAGGAGCTTCACTTTATTGTTCTTTGTGAATAGCATGGCGGCTTTACCGTTGAGTTGGACAGTTGGTAATCTTTACGCAATGGATGGCAACTTTCACTGCAACTTCGTGAAGTTTACCATTAAAAAGTAAAACCTTTGACGTGTTTACATAAGTCGTGTACATATACGTCATTACATTTTTAAAATGTTCTTTTCAAGCTACATGATAATTCCGTAAACTCTTTGGTAGATTTTGACTTAAATTGTGTATGTCGTTACAAAACTTGATTTTTACATATTTTTTCTTAACATTCATTTTGTGTGCGAATGTTAAAGAATTAGTTCAGTACCACTTATCAAATATATAATATATTAATATTTTCTGCACAAATTTTCAAAAGTTTGGCACATAATTTTGACAGTTCTACTTTACTGATGCACTTTAAATTGAGGAATATTCACCTGTATTATGTATGTTAAATTGATTGAAATTGTGTATTTTGTACACGCTCTTGCGGACGTTCTCATCGCCAACCAAATCTTTGGAAATTGTTCCAAACTATAAAATATTCATCATTATAAATACAATAAATTTGTAATGGATATTTCACTAATACGTGCTTTTAATGTGCACTGAAAAAACTGTGTTTAGCAATTAAACACTTTTCTGAGCACTTTCTTGTTTTTAGTTTGTAAACATGTTTGAGGAAGGACGGTGTTACAACTGATAATGTAGTAACCAAGGATAACGTATCACCAACCGATAATGTCACTAAAATTGACTGATACAATATCACTAACCGATAATGTAACAAACAAAATTATAACCGATAATGAAGTAACATGTACTACACTATCAGTCAATTGTTGTTACATTTTTGGTCCCAACCGATAAGAAAAATTTACTGATAGTGTAGTAAATGTTACTATTATCGGTTGGTGATACGTTATCCGTTGGTTACTACATTATCAGTTGTAACAGACGGTGTGTACCAATGGAAAGTTGATGTGTAGTAATTAAAGACATGATGTTTAGCTTCTAAACATGTTTACAAAGTGATAGCAAGATTGTGTTTAATTGCTCAACACAATTTTTAGAGTGTGATTGTCACACCTTGTATCCAAAGTAAACTTGGGGCCAACATTGCCTGTCCTGGCATCAAATAAATAAAAGTACCCTTACTCGATACCCGATACCAATCCAAATGCTTACATTCATTATTCTATAGGCCTACCAGTAATTGTTATTTAGAGAGAGCCTGAGAGCGTGCACATGCTAAACCCAAACAGTTTATCTCAGACAGAACATCTACAGACATTTGTCTTCTCTGGATGTGGATTTTCGAACTGCAAAGACATGTTTTGGGATGGACATGTACATAAATTAGAGATGTTTTGTCGTTGATACTGTACTGAGGTACCTCACTTATCAAGGTTTTTAAAAAGTACTCTCTTTGTGATAGATTTTTCGGTCTCATTAAAGTGTTATTGTGAAAGTTATTCGATATTTACATAAAAAATCTTAACGTTCATCTCCCGTTTGCCGTACCAGGGGCGGATCCAGGAATTTTCGCAGAGTTCTTTTCGGCAGCAAATCGATGCTGAAAAGTAGACAGTTTTTTGTCGGGATACTTGGCTCCGTAAAATCAATAGGTGGTGGATATGGGATTGGTGTGTGCGGGGGGGGGGGGCCTCGTACCATACCTTTTTTTATGAAAAAAAAGTTACACATTTTTTGACAAAGATTGGGGAGGGGGGGGGGGGGATTTAACACCCCCTGGATCCGCGCCTGCGTATATTGATCTGTAGCGATGTGTAGTGATGATAGAAAGGTATAATAAAAATCACGCCACAGTTATTTGATATAGGTGAAACATTTGCAAAGGCTACAACTAATCACTTCTCTTCTTCACCATCGCCCAAAAACCTACCCCCGTCCCCAACGCCTCTCAAAAAAAAAAATCACACTCAATTAATAACATTATGAAGCTACTCCCAACCCGCAACCCCAGTATTGAAACATGCCCATAACAACTTATGAAAATTAAATCTCTCTAGAAAGTATTGGCCAAACAAAACCCAAACTAACATGAGAGAGAATTACCTTAATTCTAAATTGTATATTATAAGTAGAAAAAAATATATACGAAAAATATGTTCAAGGCCCCAAGCACTCATTCCTTACCCATTTGTGCGTCATGCAGTAAGAGTTTACTTGGAGCATTGTTTCTGCATCATCATGGAGACTGTTGCTTGGAACCGCAGCTTAACGGCTTGGCTCTCGTGGCGAATTGGCAACAGTGTTTTTACCTAAATATGTCTTTTAATTTGTAGCTCCTCTCTATCACTGACCTGTGGTTATTACTTCCTTAATGGATAAAGAGAATCTTTCTGCACATCATACGCTTCCTATAAAAACTTCCGCCATGCAAAAAGCTGTCAAATGTACCTTAAAAAAGTAAAAAAGAAAAGAAAAGAAAAAGGCAGGCATACAAGTCCTGTAGTTCGTCATGTGACCATAAATATTAGTCTATAAATACTTGATAAGTCTCGGCCAAAAACAACCCCATTTTTTTTCCGACTCACTAAAATGCATATTTCCATGTACGTATATTAAATAATCAAAATGTATGATAATGCTTCTTTTAAAATCGGTTGCCATGTCAACCATGGGCATCACACTGGACTTGTTTTACATGTAGTACCCTTGTATTTGATCCCCGGGAAAGGACAACAAAATGCACAATGACGATCTGCCTCAGTGCTCCGGAGATTTTACATGAGGTTTCATAGATATAGGCATATTGATAGGGGCAAGAAACTTCTTTAAAACCTTATAAAATACATGCAGTGATAGCTAATTGCAAAACAAAAGCTTAAACCTTCCTTTTCAAGCTTGTCTTTGTATTTATTAAGTGCACTGTCAAGTAAGTAAGGTTATAAAAAATGAAAGCTGGTTAACCAACCACTAACATGCAACTTAACATCATAACATGCGATCCCATTATCTAACCGATTTCGTAAATTTAGCCTACTAAGTATAAATTTGCCATTTTAATAAATGTCTTCATCAAACCGGAAAAAACCTTTGCCTTTAGTGCCCTCTAACGCGGAAATAGTATACAATAAAAACGCGCCCATGTTCAGATTTGAACCCGAAGTTCTATGACAGCTTCTTATAAAAACATATTCATCAACGAGTTCCTCATTCGTGGATCTGTTGCAGCCTTGTTTTCAGTATATTTGAATGCATTTTGTGATATGTCGGAAGTTGGACACAGAAAATGTTGATGGGGTACCATACAGTTGTGAATGAAGGGTTTTTCTCGTAAAAGGCAGATTTAGTTACGTATTTAGTCACAATGTAACCTTCCCCTTTTGTTAAAAGTCAACCAGCTATCGAAATCATCGATTGAGTTCTCGCTCGTAAAACAGTTTAACCAACACAAGCAACTCAAATCAAACAAAACAGAGAAAAAACATATGAAGGAAAAACTATTTGAAAACCTATTTAATAAAAGATGAGAAGTAACATAACATACATCATGGTAATAATTTTTTTAAAGCATTTTTTAAAGGACGGTTTGTAGTACATGTATACTCTCTTTTTGACTGTACGTACTTTTCTGGTAATTGCATTCACTTTTTCAAATGTTAAAATCTTAACTTAGGAATGCAGGAGCGTCCACAAGTTTGTCATTACTTTTTGATTTTTTTTCGGAAATCTTGTAGTCCACTTGAACAACAGTCTTCAAACACTCACCTGTGGTCAGGGAAGGGGAACAAATAATCATCAAACTAGTTAAAAGAGGAACTTTCGAGAAAGGAAAGTCGTTTGTGGTCAATTGTTTGCACAGCGATGCATTTACTGATAAATAACTGACTGAAAGAAAAGAGAAATTGCTTCCCTATCACGGGTATTTAAATGGATAAAAAAGAGGCGCAGGCGCAGTTCACATTTCCAAAAGGGAACTTCTTTGTTAAATGCGCATCACTGTGGCTAACCCGGTCCATTCTGATCTGAGCGAATTCAATTGAAAACACGGAGGATTTCAACGTGATACAAATGAATAAGGCTTGATCAAGAATCGACACCATCCACAATGTAAGTTTTCGTCATTTGTTCTTTTTCCTTCTCTTTTTTCCCCGTTTTACTACTTGAAGCGATTTTGCAAATGTAAATATTGAAGTTTTCCAACGCTTCTAATTAGTTGGTGAGCTCCATTATGAAGTACACTTTTGTGTATCCTTTTACATATGTAGGATGTTTTGTGTTTAATGTTAATGTTAAAGAGGTTGTGTATGGTTAGGTATTACCCCCCACAACTGAATCATACAGTGATGCTGCCGTCGTTTGTGCAATCACAGACGAACGGTTTTAATCCTCCGAACATTGACACTTTGTTGCAGCAATCTGTAATGTGTTTATGTATCGTAATTCAGTAACAGTGAATACAAGATGTCTACTCGTGTATCTTGTAAACAAAACACACACACACCCACGCCCCCCCCCCCCCCCCTTGTCGTATGTGGTAAAACGCAAAGACTGAGATGCTTATTTCATTCATAACTAATTTATTGAAAGGGCAGATCAGGATTAAGGTAGGTCCTTGGCCAAAGGAAATCCCCCATGTTCATCTTCAAGCATCGTTGCCTTACTTCTTTGTTGAGCGTCAAACTCATTTCGTTGATATTAGATGAATGTATGTACTTCTTCAAATACATCATGATACTATGAAAAGCCAGTGTCATTGTCCCAACTCACTCATCCAGTCACTTGCTGTCAGCATGTATTGCCTTATTTTTGGGCACAAATAAAAGGGTTGGCTGCGCTCAGGTCGAATATAACGCATGTCGAAAGTTTGGCCGGGGGTTGGCCACATTCAATTTTATACCATTATACCAATGTTGGATCATGTCAAAACCAACGTCATGTGAAGTTTATATGGCCGATACTGACCAATGTTGATTGGAAAAGACCAATATTATAGTGTAGTCAGTAGGCAGTAGGCCTAAGTATGCTCACCACTAGGCCTACTACGCGTCGAACGTCCGTATTAGCTATGATTGACATGTGTGTGTTGACGTATGTACACAAAATTCTCTTCGAATTAATGTCCATATTACATTGAGTTACTATCCACATTTTCCACACAGTCACTGGCTGTCTTTTAATGTTGGTAGTAAGCTTACTGTAATCAGTCGAAAAATGTCCTACATCAAAGTTTATGGCTGCCTTGTTGTCAAGCACGGCTTTCCATATAAACCGGCGACCACGAAGACTATCACATGTCCATTATAGGCCTGACTTTGTGTACAGCGTATGCTGTGGTCTTTAAGAACCACATAGCAAATTTAATATTTCGAAAATGTGTCTCATGTACTCTCTTAAGTCAGTAAGTAACGACATTTGTGTGGAATAAACTTACCCCTCAACATGAGAACTGCAAGCATCGAGGTCATGCAGTTTCCAAATCGTATACAGGAAGTCCCCAGTTATGCTATAGTTATTGTGATAGTCTTGATAAGGGTCATTGGTGGTCGTGAGTGCAGAGATGATTTCCGGGTACGTTTCCTCTGTGTTTTTACAAAACACAAATGGTTTGCGAATTCTAAGAGGAAGGAGGAATCTTTATTCTTTATATTATAAAAATTAAAATTATAATTATAAAAATTATAAAATTATAAAGATATTTTAAATTTTAATTGTAATCGTCATTAGGCTAAATGCTCAGCATTGCAGTTTGTGTCGATTTGTCGAGAACAATATTTCTGAATAAAAAAGAAGAAGAATGATTGAATTGCTCACCATTCATAAAAAAAGGGAACAAATCAGCCTTTAGATCTGTTAGCAGGCCATGTAAAAACGGTCATGTTTTCTGAACAGCTGCAGCGATAAGAAATGAGGGTTTCCATGTTTTAGTTGTACCGTTTAGTAATTGGTCAAACTTTGGAAATCGTTCATATCCAGAAAGCCATCGGTACATAGAGAATAGACTATTTTTATACAGGCAGCTATGAATATAGGTTTTTTTTTTTATCAGGGGCAGATCTAGCTTTCAGGAAATTGGGGGGGGGGGGGGTTAATATGAAGGGCAGTTGGGTGAAGGTGTGTCAAAGGCATGTCGGGTTTGGCGGGGAATGCCCTTCGTGGCAAATTTGGAAATCTACCGTGTTTTTTTCTGCATGCTAAGGCAATTTCAGAATAGATTCAGGCATTGCATTATTTTTGGCCACATTTTACTAGTATCATAACATAAGTCGGCGGCTGAAAGAGGGGGCAGGGATGGGAGTTGCACCCCCAGATCTGCCACTGGTTAGTATATATGTGGGTCATTCTACACAATTTGGGTTCACTTGTTCATGTCCCTGTTATATTTTACTATATACCCAACAAATACTACATTTTTGGAAGTCATTTTTAAATAAACCCCAATTGCAAATTACAAAATACCAAGGTAACAGCGGCAAGAAAAAGGACACTTTGGACTCTAAATATATTGAATGTCCGTCGATTGTAGAACATTTTGTGGGACTCGGTTTTCAATACACGATGATAGTTTTCATACCATTAAAAAATTATAACGGCTGCATTTTGTTGATCAGATCCTAAGCATTTGAGTGATTATGAACAGCAAACTGACTACCTAACATATAAATAACTTGTTTGAAGTCATTCGTAATGATGTTTGATTAGGAAATTAAAAAACTTCCAAGGTAACAAGGACAGAAAAATGTCCCACTAAATTAATTAATTAATTTTTTTAATGATGACTAATGAACAACAAGTCTGGGATTTGGTTTCTAATGCACGATGAAAATTCTCATTCGATTAAAAAAATAACAATTCTGAGAGATGTCTTTTGTTAAGCGGAAGGTAAGCATTACTGAAATTGTATATACAAATACGATTGTATTAACTGAAAAAGGCTATTTCGTTTTACAGTTTTAATCATGACGTACCCTCGTAGCAAGGTGACATTGCTGCTCATCTCCATGATTATTCTGATCGATTTGGCACTATTCAAGATCACGGATGCATGTGAGTTTTAGTTTGTATTAAACGAAATTCTACCCTTTTGACTCCTAAAATTTGAAAATCAATTTAAGGAGGCTTCTTTTCAACCAGACTTTAATGACATTTCGATTCCTTTCAACTGGCTTTTAACTTATTTTTCCAATTCCTTTTTTTTTGCCAGTTCACAAATTCCAATGTATTTTTCATTTTTTTGGGGGAGGGGGGCGGAGAACTCTCCCCCCTCTATAAAATAGCGTGCCCAGTCGCCCCCACTGAAATTGGCGAACGGCGAACGTCACAGTCCTATAAATTGCCATGCTTAGCGTGTTTTGATATTGCCTTTTCTGTCATGTCTTCTGCCTGTTTATTTCAACGTCCTGGTTGGAAATCGAATCTCGCCACCTATTGTATGACATTGACCATGGTGTTGGTTTTGAACAGCGCCTCCTATGGAAAAATGGTGGCCACCCCCCTCCCCTATCACTTTTTGATTTTTCGGAGGCCGTGTGTCCTGTGAAAAAAACACCTGTGTACCTTTCAGCACGGATGAAATTGCCCTCCGCATTACACCCCCCCCCCCACTCGCCACCCTAGGATGAGAGCCATGACTAAGCTGCTGATTCCAACCCCATAAAAAACCCGAATGTACTGACTTAATTAAAACATGTTTGAGGTCGACAGTATCGTTAATGACATTGTCCAAAGACAGCGCATGATCGACAACCACACGCAAGAGGTAAATCGCTGTTTAGCGTAGTGTTCTTTTCGACATAAGAGACGCAGCTGGAGTCAAACGTAAAAAAAAAAAAAAAGGAAAAAAATCTAAGCCCTGACAATCCGTCTAAGTAGAAAGCTGGCTTCAGACGAAAGAAACAAACATCAACACACGTTATTCCGTATATCTTGCAAGCTTTACTATTTCACCAATTAACGACATCTGACTCTTGTTTGGTTATCCACCAATAACGTAGCACGAATGTATGACAGCGTTGTAATCTTTATTTTTTTTATCCTCTGTCAATTTCATCACAGAGATAAGTCATGTGAGAAGTAGCATTGCACATTAATGGTGGATGTTTTACTTTCACCCTAACACTCCTTTCGTTCTAGCTGAACTCCGCCTTGATGGTAGCCGCAACGGAAATCAGGGCAGGCTGGAGATCTTCCTAAATGGTGAATGGGGCAGGGTGTGTGACGATGACTGGGATCTACAGGACGCCCAGGTGGCTTGCAGGCAGATGGGCTTCCCTGGTGCCATTCAGGCTACTCAAGGAGGTATATCTTGGTTCGGAAATGGACCAATACTCCTTGACGATGTCGCTTGTACAGGATATGAAACTGACTTGGAAAACTGTCAGCATGGAGGGATTGGAAATCATAACTGCTTTTTTTTCGAAGATGCAGGAGTGATATGTAACCCCCGAGGTAATACACATTCATCCTTATGTTCTATAATAAATCGTACATTCATCCCAACGCGTATCACATGTTGGTCCTGAGATGTGTTGGATAGACTCCATGCACAAGTACCCCAATGAAAGGTTACAAAGAGAGAAAGACAGAGTTGGGTACAGTGGCCACCGGGAGGAGCAATCGGCCTTACACCCAGTCCAATATTATGGCGCTGCTCAGCACAATATTTTTTGTTAACAGAGCCTCCGTCTATTTCATGGAGATCCCGTAGGCAGTAAGCACACAACATGCACGCTTACCTCAGTGGAAAAGTTGCTTAAATCAGTGACATACAAAGTGAGTAAAAAAAGCGGAACTCAAACCCCCAAATTATATTCATATTAAAAAACAATATGGAGCACCAAACATAATAATGACTGGAAAGCCAATTTCATAAGCTACTTTTAGATGAAAAAAAACTGAAATTTCTCAATCCATTCAAAAATCTTAAACACAATGACCATAAAACCTTTTTCGTCCAAAAATGCGATTTAAAGAATCGTTGTCACAATTGTCTTCAAACATCACCAGCGATAAAACCTCAGTTTAAAAGTTAAAAATATTCAACAAAGTCCTTTCGAAAGCCCGTCTTTAGAAAAAAAGTGGATTGATAAATCGTATTGCTTGCCTAACCAGGGTTGTTAATAAAGATATTGTGTACTACAGTTGTTGACAGTTGTTGAAACAAATATCCTGTTGTTCAAAACAGTCAGAATACACACTAAATTGCTTTTTTTTGGACGAAACAGGTTTTAGGGCCACTGCGTTTAAATGGTGATATTCTTTTAACAGATTGAGCAATTTCAGTATTTTTTTTTCATCTAAAAGTAAAGCTTATGAAACTGGCTTTCCAGTCATTGTTATGTTTGGTGCTACATTTTTTTAAAACATGAAATATATTTTTGGGGTTGGGTTCTGCTGCTTTTGACTCACCCTGTATAAACACTTTCCATGCGCGCGCAACCTTTTTTTCTGTCCACCCCCGATCTGTTACATAACAAAAACATTTTGATGATTTTAACAGTTCGTTTGGTGGGCGGTTCAAATATTATGGAAGGCCGCGTGGAGGTGTTCTGGAATGGTGCCTGGGGGACGGTCTGTGATGACTCCTGGGACCCGAATGACGCAACAGTTATCTGCCGGGAGCTGGGTTACGCAGGGGCGTGGGAGGCTCCCGGATCGGCCACATTTGGTGGGGGAGATGGGCTGAACATACTGCTCGATGATGTCGCCTGCACGGGCAACGAAAAGACGGTGTTCGATTGCCATCATCGCGGTTGGGGGAATGAAAACTGTGGTCACATTGAGGATGCTGGGGCTCGATGTGGTAAGCATGGGCTAACTCATTCAATCATTGGAAATCAAATGCCATGGATCTCATCACAAAATAGTTTTAAAATCTGTATTAATATTTAAGTCCCCCAAACAAAAAAATCGGCCGAAACCATTTGCAACTGTAAGAGAAAAATATAATGTGTCACGACACGATAAATTCCCATACACTGAACATTATTTTGCTCTGTTACTGTGAAAAAAAAGGCAGTTTAAATTTTATCAAAGTAAATGGGTAATCCGGAGGTCTAACTTACTTTTAAAAAGAGAAAAAAAGCCGTCTCCAAATGCTGATTTTCGTTAGGATGGCATGAACGTAGACGAGGCAACAAAGGGCATGATAACTCGCTCGTTTCAATGTTTTGATATTAATGACCAGTAGTTTCCCAACTTTTCCTAGCTGAAATCCTCGATTACTTAAACACCAAACCTCAAGATTTATCAATTTTGATATTGGTATTTATTTCACCACTAGCGCACGCTATTCTCTACAAGATGTTCTCATTAACTGTTGTCGACACGTACAGCTGCTGGAGGCCACATATACCTTGTACCAATTGCGATAGCAGGAAAGACGACTCTGTAGTTTTTATACCTTTACTTTTCTTTTTCTTTTTTAAGTCGATTTTCGTCTTGCTGGCAGTCGTTCAAAACTCGAGGGCAGAGTTGAGGTCCGTCTGAATGGTGAATGGGGCACGGTGTGTGACAACTCCTGGGGACTAGAGGACGCCAAGGTGGCTTGCAGGCAACTCGGCTTCCCAGTAGCCTTACGAGCTACACAGGGAGGGTCATTCGGAAGAGGAAATGGGTCCATACACCTGGACAATGTTGAGTGCACCGGTCTTGAAAATAACCTGTTGAGTTGTCAGCACAACGGGATTGGTGACCATAATTGTGCTCATGGCGAAGATGCAGGAGTCGTTTGCAGTATAGGTATAGGCCCTATATTTATTTCTTTTTAATTACTGAGTCCCTAGAATCCTTCTCGAGTCTTAATGCTCATAGAAATGACTCCTTACATTGACATTTCCTTATTTGCGAACGTCTTTCAGATAACCTGTGTGACCCCATGCATGCATGTGACCGCTGCAAAATATGTAATAAATGCCTTGTTTCTCAGTAGTATTCGGGTTCTCTATAAAAGTATCCTATCGGGTTCTCAGAGCAGCCCGAGGTTCTCATAACTTTCCACGGTTCTCTTAAAGTATCGTCCCGGTAAGGGGGGGGGGTGCTCTCTTAGAGTAGGCCTATCCCATGGGGTTCTCAAAGCATCCCGGGTGTTCTTCTCTCGGAGCCTCCTAGCTCATACTACCCTGATTCCATACAGGTTCCCTTAGAGCAACCGCATGCAATCACAACACTGTGTGGCGGGGATGCTCTAAGAGAACCCCCGACATGCTCTAAGAGAACTGCTAGGAGCGGCTCAAAGGGAACACTGGGTTATCTGAAAGACGTTCTCAAAGAAGGAACTATTCATCTGCGATGTCTCCGTTTGATGATTTGATCTTAACTTGGCAGCTTTATAGTTTCTTCATAGGGATTGTCTGGAATTTAGCAGAGGCATTATGAAAGTCAACATCGTGAACTTTGCTTAATCAGCATGAAAACGTATCGATCTCATGTTGAGAGGCGGAAAAACTGCTGAAGTGTTCCTTGTTGATTTTCCCCATGTTCTAGATTGACAACAAACAAAAACATTAAAGTCCGTTACAAGAGATGTGAAGAGGACAAGTAAATTATCAATTGAACAATTCAGACAAATAGAATATTCAAAATATGAATGTATATCTGCTGAAGTTACAGTTGTTTGTATCTCTTGAAACTCTTCTGCGTAAAGGTCAATAGTTTATTTGCTGGACCTTGTTCTGAAATGTTGTATTTTCGTGTTTCAATGGGAGGCTTCTGGGACGTTTGGTGGCAGCAAAGACACCGGCCCTTTGCGACATCGTTTGCGTCGTTTGAACATGCGCACGATTGGTTAAACATTTCTCAAACATTTGGAAGAATGGGTGTGTTTGTCGCCACCGTTGTGAACAACATAATGTTAATTAAACGAGCTAGATTTAAGCTAAAATCATGTTTGTGTCTGGTCCGACATTCGTATCAGGAGGTACTTATAATTTACATGTAATTTTAAAAAAAATACAACGAAGGCGTATGTCTTCAGTTCTAAAAAGTTCCCAAACATTTGACTCAACACATTCAACTCGCTGTTTCCAAGTTCTTAATTTTATAAAATATCTAATAAAGCTTTGATATGACATCGGGCGTTGTGACGATTGCACATGGAATGAATTATAATCGAAAGGGATATAATTTGTTTTTAAAAGTCCGTTTGGTAGGTGGTACCAATTCAATGGAAGGTCGCCCGGAGTTGTTCTGGAACGGTACCTGGTGGACGGTCTGTGATGACTCCTTGGACCTGAACGTCACAACAGCTGTCTGCAGGGAGCTGGGTTATGTAGGGGCAAGGGAGGCTCCCGGATCGGCTCCCGCAGGGGGACTGAACACACTGCCAGATGATGTCGCTTGTATCGGCTACGACGAGACGGTGTTTGAATGCCAGCACAGTGGATTAGGGACTGATGAGTGTAATCACAGACAGTATGCCTGGGTTCGATGTAGTAAGCACTAGTTCAAATTTAAAACCTTGAAGACATTATCCTTCAGTAACCATCGGCTTTATACAACTGGATGGCAATTGTTTCAAAAGTAAAAATAGTTAGGGAAATTGTTTCAATAGTAAAAAATAGTCAGGGAGTCAGGTTGGCGTAGCGGTACTTTCCTAGCCTTCCACCGCTGTGACCCAGGTTCGAATCCCAGCTGGGCCAATATGTGGATTGGGTTTTCAGGCCCTACCTGATGCCGTGGGTTTTCCTCAGAATATTTCTCTAGGCATTTCCTCCCACCTCTAAAACTGTAATTTCTTCTCACTGTCTTCTCTCTACGGGTTTCTTCAGGCTTTCGAGCTACTGTGTTTAAGGTACTTTTGAGGAATCCTTGGTTTTATTACCAGAAAGGAATAAAATAAAAAAAAATACAAATAAACGACTATCGGTAATGATCATTTTAACGTTGCATTAGTGTTTTAAACGTCTTAAGCAACATTCGATTGCTTAACTGTTAAAACAATGGATCTATTACAGTACAATCTGCCAAGATTGACATAATTATCTTAGGGATCTTAAATTTTGTTATGAAACGCTTTCTCCTTAAAGACTTTAAGAAAAATTGCTCTCGTCGCTTTTTAAACGTTAGGCCTACAGTTTATTTCACATAGATCGTTTAATTACCTTCTTTAAAATGTCTTGAGTTACCAGAAAACTACATATCACATTTTTGACACAGTAAGTGTTTACATCAGCAAGACAGTTTTACATCCACAACCCAGTCAGAACCGTTAAGAAATTACATTTGTTAAAGTCGGAAATCCTCGCGAGAAGGAAACAACCCACTTGCAAATGTTTATTCATTTTCTATTGTACCTTACACGTTTGTGTTTCTGTTCTTTAGTTGACCTTCGTCTTGTTGGCAGTCGCAGTACGGAAGGCAGACTTGAGATCCGTCTGAATGGTGAATGGGGCACGGTGTGTGACGACTTCTGGGGACTACAAGACGCAAAAGTGGCTTGCAGGCAGCTCGGCTTTCCTGGCGCAACCGAGGCTACACCAGGCGGGTCTTATGGAAGTGGAAGCGGACCCATTCAACTCGACAATGTCATTTGTTCAGGATCTGAACCTAGCTTGCTCTCTTGTCTGCATGATGGGATCGGAGTCAGTGACTGCAGTCATGGTGAAGACGCAGGAGTTATTTGTCAGCCTCGAGGTACTGCATTATGTAACTAACATTTTTTTTCAGATCTAAAAATTAATGTGGCCTGACGTTGCGAACTTAGCAAGTTCTTCTTCAGAGGCTAAAACAGAAAATTTTTTTCAGAGTTGAACAAAGAAGTTGACTGCAGCGGGGTGTGGACTGCGAACTCTTTTGTTTGAACAAAAAGGGTTTACTGAGGTCGCAGGATCAAATCTTCGCACGAGTCAATTTCTTTGTTCGAATATGAACACAATAATAGAATGGACTTAATAATCAGTTTCTTTTTGTAGTTTAATTCGGGCGATTCACAATGCAGTGCACCACCAAGAGCGTGCCACGGAGAGTTAATTTTTCCCAGTGCATTGTGGGAGATGGTCGACTAATTCGCAGCGTGGGACATTTGAAATTGTTACTTTTTTTCCCGGTCAGTTGTTTTGTAAGCGTATGATGGAGGATCTGTTTGCCCTTTTCTTTTCTTCTTATCAATATGGTGTTTTTTTTTGTAAGGCGGCAGAATGCGTCGACCGTAAACATGAAAAATGGACTTTCCATGGCAAACTCTTGGTGGCGCACTGCATTGTGAATCGCCCGAATTGCAAATTTGTAACAAAAAGTATCCTGTTTGAGTGATCCCCGTTTGCTATTTCCCTGGTTTGCTGTATTGCTAATTTTGCTGCCATCGTGATTTTTGGTGGGATCATCCTGGCTACATGGCATATGAGGGTTGATGGCGTCTGACAAGCACCCCTTGAACACAACAAAATGAGTAAAGGGGGAACCGCCAATATAGGGCTGGATAGCTCAGTTCGCAGAGCACCAGAACGGTTCCGGCGATCGCAGGTTTATACTCGACCCAATATTTTTTGTTTTCAACTCTGAACTCAAAATATTAAAGTGCACCTAGTAGTTAGTTTCCCTTTGTAATTTACGTGACAATAATTAAACAACACTATTCATAAGATGGATTTTTTTTTTGGCGTCGGGTGATGTTAATCAATTTGATTGAATAATTAATCAAACAGTGTAAATGATTGAAGGCAAATGTCACTCTAAATGTTTCGTGAACTGTCATGTCAAAATGGTCAACTAAATCAGTACAATACATTTTGGATACAGTTCGTTTGGAAGGTGGTTCGAGTCCCAATGAAGGCCGCGTGGAGGTGTATGAGAATGGTGCCTGGGGAACAGTCTGCGATGATGGCTGGGATCTAACCGATGCAAATGTTGTCTGCAGGGAATTAGGCTACGAGAGAGCAACGGAAGCATTGGGAGGGGCAGCCTTCGGTCAGGGTGAAGGGCTGAAAATACGGTCTTTTCTTATCTGCGACGGTACCGAGGAGACAGTATTGGGTTGTCGGCACTCGACGCTTAATGCTCACCATTGTTTGCATAATGAGGGTGCCGGAGTTCGTTGTGGTAAGGCGAACACGGAGGGTGAAATTATGAGACCCTTTTAAGATATTTCATTTTAGTTGAGTACATCTTGTAGGTACGCACACTTCCGCCACAAGGCCTCCAGACTCCTTTCGCACGTGATGAAGGGTAAAACCTAATTTGATTTGGCCTCCAGACTCAAAAAGTTCAGAACACGTTTACTGGTGCTACACCCCTTTTTGGTTGTGAACGGACTTATGAAAGGACTGATGTTTTAATTTTGACCAGACCTCTGATGGGCTCAACTATAACATTGTCACAAAAAGAGGTTCATTCCTTATATCCGGTGGTAAAAGACCCAAGAGGTGGTTGATTATAACTGCAAGCCTGCGCTAGGACAAATACAATCTCACCGCCTGTTACTTCACCAGGTCCAGACAATAACTTGGATGCACATTCATCCCTGCACGTTCAACCCATTGGCGGCAACGGGTCTATGCCCCCCACCCCAACAAGTTTTTTTTCTTGGTAATTGGAAGGGTAAAGATATCTTTTTGTCTTAACTTTTTTGTGAAATAAACGAAAGCGTTGCGTATCTCTCCCTAAAACCACAAAGTACACATACATTTTAGTTTGAATATTACAATGTGGAAAGAGCGCACGTGCCGTACACTTATAAAACCCCTTCCCGTTTATGAAAAAATACTCGAGCCTACTTCTTCACCCCCCCCGAAAAAAATTGGTCTTGAATCCACCCTTGCCTCGACCATCCATATTTAAGTATTCGCGAGGGTAAAGTGATACATGGTTTAATAAACAATAAACTGGCTGATTAATGATTTCCTGTTCTTTTAATTAGACCCATGTAGCAGTGGCTATTGTGCCAACGGGGGAACTTGCACCATCTTGACCGCAGGCAGGGTATTTTGTCTATGTCCAGCTGGTTATGGTGGACCAACTTGTAAAACTGGTAAACGTTTGTTCTTTATTGATTTTTTTTTAATTTTAAATGAAACTCCATTGAATCTGATATCTAGCTTTTTGAAGATGCTAGACCTTTTTTCCTACGGTTATTTTAACACCTCTCATCGGTAATTTCCTTATTACTTAATTAAGTTTCTCCAGATATTGTTTCTCTTTACAAGTTGCCAACTGCGTGCCTACCACGTGCCTGCGTGGAAACTTGTATATGACTTCTTGTGGAAACTTGTATATAACAACTTGTTAAAATTATTGACATGGTGGGATTTGCAATTTGATAGATGCCCGATGCGAGCTCTCTATGGACCAGTCTGATGTCCTGATTGTGATATCGGGCCAGCAGGTTGTATACCTTCCTGGTGGCTCGGTCGAGTATGCCTGCCCAGACGGATATCTGCTTAGTGGATCCACTTTCAGGATTTGTCAGGCAGATTTCACCTGGGTACATTGTAATACATTCCTGTAAGAATTAGTGTCGATAAAATCATTGTGTGTTTTTCATCAGTTAAATACAAGTAACTGAACGATGAATAGATACAGGAAAAAACACCGCTTGTTTAAATTTCTAGTTCCTTTATCATCATCATGTTTCCATGAGGGGAAAAATGGTATTTGATATAAAAGTTATTATGCTGTGATTAAGTTCTGAGTCTTAAATATTATCGAATCTCGTATCGCTTTGTTGTATCAGTTGCTCACTGCGTGCTTACCGATGACCAGTCCGATGTCCTGATTGTGGTACCGGGTCAGCAGGCTGTATACCTTCCTGGTGACTCGGTCGAGTATGAATGCCCGGACGGATATCTGCTGAGTGGATCGACCGTCAGGATTTGTCAGGCAGATTTCACCTGGGCAGGACAGCAAGCTGAATGCAAAGAAGGTATCTAGTAATTGTTTTGCCTCAGCTTGTGATTTTACCAAGTTGCAATAATATTATGCAATAATAGCAATATCCACACATGGCAAACGATTGTCCATGTGTGATGGGCTTACTTGAGACCCGGCCAAAAAGAACATAAGAATGAAGTTTTAGCACATACACACACAGTGTTTCCCCCATCTGGAAAACAGGTTTAGACACTTTTTGGGGTTAGGTTTCTGCAAAATGAACAGAAACACTAAATGGAATCATTGAAAAAAATATGGGTTGAAAGAGTTTTCACAGTGTGAGTAAAATGATTTTTTTCACAGGTTTGTCTTAACTACACGAAAACAAAGGAATGCTCACCTACGTATATAACGTAAACATGCGTTAGTTTATGGTGTAAATCGAGGACACACACATGCAACATCATCGGTGAATCAAGGACAGGAAACAAATCGAGGACGACCTCGATTAGAAAACGTATATAAACCAATGAGAGCTGTTGCAAAAAAGTACAAACAAACGAAAAGGGAAGAGGAACAAAAGAAAATCCTCGATATACACCATAAACAAACGTGTATGTATGTGTGGATGTGGGCAAGTGCACACAACGTCGCTGCTACCGGTTTATGTGAACCTCTTTTGTTCGGAAGTCCACACAATGAATGTAATGCTTGTACACACCCTCAAGTGTGTATTTGCCTGCAATCGGGGACCCCCTGTCCCTCTTTTGTTTGTTCTTAAACTTTTGAGCAAAACCTCCCATACGCTTTGTACACGATCGTAAATTGGTGACCTTTTGGGAATTGGGGTCCCTATTGTCCGCTATAGTTCAACGTCCCCTGTTGAATGCTGAAACAGACTCACACTCACCAGGGTGCAAGGTTTTTACTTAAATGCTGCTTTTTCGTAACCTTTCTCTCTATTTCACTTAAATATCTAAGATTTCTGTGGTACCGGACCGTGTATAAATGGAGGAACCTGTTCAAATACACACACTGGATTCATCTGTCAGTGCCCTGATGGCTACGAAGGACCAACATGTGAACAAGGTATGTACAATATTGTACCTCCCATCAACAGCATATTGAAAATCATGCGATCCAACGTTTTTGTCTAAAATTCTGTGAATACAAACATATCGTGCATATCTCCACAGTTAAAATGTGCCGAAAAATGTTGCAGTCTTTAATGATTACATCAATGATTACAGATACATTGTTTCTTAAATTGAAAGCTTGATGTCACACTATGAAAACATTCAAATGTTCTTTTGCTTTTCATTAATGTACCTTTCATGTGATATATTACTGAAGCAATAATATTTGATTAATTTTCCCCTTATCAAGTTGCTAGTTGTATGCTGTTTGACTCGCTGGATGTCCTGATGGTGGTATCGGGTCAGCAGGCTGTATACCTTCCTGGGGACTCGGTTGAGTTTGCCTGCCCGGACGGATATCATCTCAGTGGGTCTGCCTCGCGGTTCTGTCAGTCAGACTTAACCTGGTCTGGACAGCCAGCTGAATGCAATCAAGGTTTTCTGATCATTCTAGCTGTTCTTCATTTCGTAAAAATACATACTTATTTCGTTTATGCCCCTTTAGGATCATTAATAGTTGTGAAGATAAAAAACTATTACGCCTATACCAATACTACGATGATACATCGATGACAATCTGTGAGATTTAATACCTTGTATTGTGTTGGCTTAAATGCACGTGGCCATTTTTCCCTTTAAAATAGACTCCTGTGTCAGTGGACCTTGTTTGAACAGGGGGACTTGCACCAGTGAACCAGACGGGTTCACCTGCCTGTGCCATGCTGGCTACGACGGAGTGACATGTCAAAATGGTAAAATACTGATTTAAACTCTTTTTTTTCCATTAGATTTTAGAACTAACCGAGCTTTTTTTAGGCATAAATGATGATGTGCTTTTTGATGCATTTGGTTCTTTTTCAATAATAAGTGCTCTCAAATTCTAAAGATGAATGTCCAAAACCTAACCTTTTGAAGTTTCAGCTCAGTGGGTATTACGCTCTTCAAGAAAGCAGTGAAAGCCCTTGCACTTTATATCAGTCCATTGACTGATCGTTAGAAATCGTTTTCTTTTAAATGACAGCAAACCAGACGGGTTTATTTCACGGAGTGAATTAGTACCAGCAGGATGGTTAATCCAATTAAGCTTTTTGATAATAATTCGGTGGGTTACTTTGGGAATAAACTTAAACGACTTTTTATTTTTTTAAGGTCAGTCGATTGCAAGTGGGAATCATATTTGTTTCAATGTTTGTGGTTTTTTTTACTCTATTCCAAAGCAACGAAAAGCGTGCGTTTTCCAGTGGGATTAGATCTCCGTAAATACACCTGTAGGAACTTCAAAGATCAGTCAGTATTTGACAAGTTGTTTTAAAAATGTTATAAAAACTGAATTCATAGTCTTCAGAATTGACAACCCAGAAAATACTCATCTGGAACATTATTCTTGAATTTCACAAGAAGGAACTGCTTGTTTGTAACAAACACCGAAAAGTAGTGTACACTTCACCACATACAAAGTATTAAAGTATGGTGACCTCATTTGTATCTTCAGTTGTCCATTGTGTGCTCACCCTAAACTCATCCGATGTCGTGATGGTGGTACCGGGTCAGCAGGTTGTATACCTTCCTGGTGACTCAGTCGAGTATGCCTGCCCAGACGGATATCTGCTTAGTGGATCGACCGTCAGGGTTTGTCAGGCAGATTTCACCTGGACGGGAGAGCCAGCTGAGTGCAAAGAAGGTATAATTTCGCAAAAAAAAATCGGCTCATTTGATAAGCCAGACCAGCTCTTGAACATAAAAATATGCATATGATTTTCTGATGGTCTGGGTGGAGCATAAGTAGTTATGAAAAAAAAAAATGATTAGGCCTGCCTACAAGTATACATTGATAACATTCTTGAACATTGAAAAGCATGTATTGTGTTGACTATAAACGCACGTAGCCGTCCCCCCTTACCATAGATTCCTGTGTCAGTGGACCTTGTGTGAACGGTGGATCTTGCACTAGTGCACCAGGCGGATTCACTTGCTTGTGTCAAGATGGCTACAACGGGATGACGTGTGAAAATGGTAAAATAAACATTTTAGTATTCTTATCATTAGTTTTTATAGCTGACCATTCTATTTGAGGTTTAATTTTTTGTGTGTGGGGATTTTGGACTCATATATTAGCCCTTCGAGCTTCAAGCCCAAAAAAATTACGCGGTGGAACCACCATGAGAATTTTATCACATTACGTTTTTCTAGGTCGATAACCCTGGCGTGCCTGTACAAGATATAGGTCATTCACATGGCCAGGGATTGTTGACAACCTGTCTGGGCTCTGGGCGGCACGAGGGGTTGACACAAAGGGATCGGTGGCACTTAGGGGCTGGCCACTAAGATCTCCCATTACTGCACAAAGGCATTAGCCGCCATCTTGGCTTCTGTCTTTCAACACTCCTTACTCCGGAATGGCTAGGGTCTGGCCAATGGGAGTCTACAGGCTTGTGGTGTGTAGTAGGGGTGAGGATTACATGGAAGCTTGGCCTTATAAATATTGGCCCATTGAACAAAAAAATATGACCATATTTGGAAAACAATGAGATTTTTGTTCACTGTCCCACTGCTCGAAGGGTTAAAAAAAACAACAAATAGCGTGCTTTTCCACAGAGATTAGATTCCCGTGAAATACATGCAGAAACTATAGAGACACCAGTCAGTATTCGGCAAGTTGTTTCAGAAGTATTAGTTTAAATGAAACCTAGCATGTAATATTTACAGTGTAGAATATGTTCATCTTGAGAAATACTCTTAAAGTTCATCAGAACTTACTGTTTGCTAGTTTGTTGTTTCTTTATGACAAATTAAGGTAAAGATTGGAACCTAAAAGTAGTGTAGAGACCCTAGATACACGAAACCTCATAGAACAAATTGAGCAAAATTGTTAACTTTCTGTTATCAGTTGTCCATTGTCTGCTCACCCTCAACTCATCCGATGTCGTCATGGTAGTATCTGGACAGCAGGCTGTATACCTTCCTGGTGACTCGGTTGAATACGTCTGCCCAAACGGATATCTGCTTAGTGGATCCACTGTCAGGATTTGTCAGGCAGATTTCACCTGGACGGGACAGCAAGCTGAATGCAAAGAAGGTATAAAGTTGTGTTTTGCCTAAGCTTGTAATCTCGCCAAGGTGCAATAATAATGTAAAATTATAATGATACCAAGGCCAAAAAGAACATAGGAGTTAAGTTCAAGCACACACACCAGGGCGCAGGTCCTTCCTAATACCTGATTTGTTTTCGTAATTTTGTTTTCTCTCTGTCACTTTATTAACTAAGATTTTTGTGGTGCCGGACCATGTATAAATGGAGGAACCTGTTCAAATACACACACTGGATTCATCTGTCAGTGCCCTGCTGGCTACGAAGGACCAACTTGTGAAGTCGGTACGTCTTAATATTTTATCTGCTAACAGTATTTTAAAAATGATTAAACAACATTGTTTTCTGCACATGTTCATAAATATAAACATCCAATGGATATCTCCGCTCTTGAAACATTTCTAACACTGCTGCAGTCTTGAGTGATTCCAGACAGATTGTTTTTCAAACTGAACGCTTGGTGTCATGCTATAAACCGTGTACTTCTCATTGTTTTATCTCAAAAATAATATAGGTTTCCCCTGTTATTTTAACACTTTTATCATTCCAAATCCATTCGTCGTTGGCTCCATTGATTATTCCAATGTCGATTTTTACATCAATACCTCTCACATTTTGTTCGGTTTTTTTTTACCTCAATAAATTTCACAGTTGGTTGGTAATCCGCTAAAATAGCATTCTGATTCGTCCTATAGTTTCAGGAAATTTGTCTCATGTTCAGATTAGCGTTTAATTTAATCAGCTCATTTTTTTTCAAGTTGCTAGCTGTTTACTTTTGCGTGACACATCCGATGTCCTGATGGTGCTATCGGGTCAGCAGGCTCTATACCTTCCAGGAGACTCGGTTGAGTATGGCTGCCCGGACGGCTATCATCTCAACGGATCAGCCACGAGGCTTTGCCGATCGGACTTTACATGGTCTGGGCAGTCAGCCGAGTGCAATAGAGGTGATCTTTTATTTGGAAAACAACATTTTAAAATAAATACAATTTTCTTTTAAAAAGGGGACGATTTAAGCCATTTATTTTTTCATATGAAAAAAAATGTCTATGATTTTCAATTCCACACCCCATAAAGTTTGGCAAATGAGTTGGATATTTGTCAAATGTTGTTATGAAAACAACTTCCTACACTCTTTGGGCAAAGTCTTTAAATTAGGTTGGGATATGTTTACCCAAATTAAACAACATCCGAGGATATTCCACACTAATGTTGTAACATTGTCTAACAATGTTTACCATTTACAATGCAAGAATATTGCGCTCATAAAAGTCTTTCGAATTGTGGTTTTTTTTGTATAATCAAATTAGCCTACCCATGTACGTATTGGTGCATTTTAGTTTTGAAAATTTTGAATCATGATTAATTAAATGTTGTAAAATAAACGAAGACATTTCCTCTTCGATAGACTCGTGTGTCAGTGGACCTTGTATGAACGGCGGAACTTGCACTAGTGCACGAGACGGGTTCACTTGCCTATGCCCCGCTGGCTACGATGGATTGAAGTGTGAAAATGGTAAAAGAATAATATTAAATGTTTATAAGGTAGATGTATGTAAATAATTTGAAATCCTATTCTAAACATAATAGCCCCCCAAAAAGTATAAAGGGTTAGCCTTGCATGAATCGAAATTCCACTCGAAATCTAAACCGAGCGCCAACAACTAGAGACATCACTTGTTTTGACTCTGTCGTTTTTGGAATGATTTTTTTTACCACAACAGTTTTCGTGTCGATAGAAGATTTCGTGCCGTCATGATCAAGAAGTGCTTCATTGTATTGATGGTTGAGAGAAATAATGGTCCCGTGGATTGTTAAAAAAAAACAATAGCTTAACACTCGGCAGCGGCTTCACGCGAACTGACTCTAAGGGAGCTGTTCGAACACAAACGTACGCATGTATGAGCGTTCAGGCCAATTACATGTATTAAATTCAATTTTTTTGTACTGTGCTTCGATTGTAAACTTATTTCTGCACAGTTGCTCAATGCGTGCTCAACCTCAACTCATCCGATGTCCTGATGGTTGTACCGGGTCAGCAGGCTGTATACCTTCCTGGTGACTCGGTTGAGTATGAATGCCCGGACGGACATCAGCTTAGTGGATCGACCGTCAGGATTTGTCAGAGTGACTTCACTTGGACAGGACAGCCGGCTGAATGCATTGAAGGTAAAGCGTATAATTGTGTTCTTTTTGGATGCATGTGAGTTTATAGTGTTGTAAGATGATGGTCACACCCTCGAGGCTTATCTTAACGGGTACATGTATTAAAGCAGGGGCGTAAATCCTGGGGGATTGTGGTATATATCCCCTTCCCACTTTTTTACTAGGGGAGATGGGTAATTGAATCATCGTCCCACTTTTACGTGATGAGAAGAAAATGTAGATTGCAAGGTATTTTGTGACATCCCAACAACAAAAATGTTTCAATGGCACTGAAAAGTAGAGAAAAAAGTACAAAAGCTTTAAAAATGCGCCTTTTGGATGTAAGCGCGAGTATATATATTGATATACATTAAAATCCTGAAGAGCGCCCCCTAGTGTAATGTGGTGTCCAGCCGCCCCCCCCCCCCCTTTCGAATTTCCATGGCCGGGCAATTTTTGGATTGTGGTAATCCCCAATCCCTCCCCCACCCTACTTGCCGGCACATATTTACGCCATTGCATGTATGTATACTACAAGTAGACCTACACCTTTGATACAAGATGGTGTTCAGTTCACATTTTGGTTGTGTGCGGCTGATTTTCTGTGTCCTTAATGCCGTATTTCACTTCAGCTTTTAAGAAGTTTTCTACGTTCCAGGTGTTAACATTATTTAGGGACAAAAAGAAAGAAATACAAATAATGATAAGAATGCGTGATACATGTACTTATGCGGCTTGGAACAGTCGCTATACCACTGTTTCGTGTGCCTAATTTCACCAGGCCCAAATATAAATATATGTGAAATGCACCTTGCCAATATTGCATCCGATGAAATAACCACACAAAATGATGATTTAACAGGCAACGTTTTGTCCGAGCCTCGTATGTCTTCCGTACTCGCAAAATTTCTGATGGTCTCTATATATGAGAAATGACGCGAAAATCAGAGATGTTTGCTGCTGTGAAAATTTCTCCCCCGATATCGCCATTTTGCGTTGTTATTTTATCGGGCATCGTACATCACACATAAAATCATATTGATATATCATAGTAGTAAATGGTACATACGCATCCCATAGGCGACTGGTTTCTAACGATCCTATCAAATCTCAACCTTTCATGAAATAAGGGGCCATTAGAAATTACGCAAATACGGAAGATTTGTGCGACTTGGAAAAAAACCCCGGCTTTAACTCTTTATTTGTATTTTATTATTTATGTACGCTATCAGTTAGAGGCACAACACATCAAAATGTTGAGATGTAGTGAGCCTGGTGCGACTATCATGCAGAGGTTGATTTAATCGGGAACTTTTTTTTCCGAGCCACATAAAAGGAATCCCGTAGGCGCATCATTTCTAATGGTCACTATATCAATATGTACACCATGAGCAAAATCAGTTGCGGTAACAAATCGGCATTCGGGGAACCACCTACTCATGTCCTTCTAGGTTAGTTCGACCCTGGAAATGGCTGATTGTGCATGGTCGCCAGAGTAGGCCTACAGGATATAATTCCCTATCGCTGCGTAACGCATTTCTTCGTATTTACCCCCTCTGTTTCACCATTATTATCTAAGATTTCTGTGGAGTCAGACCGTGCATAAATGGAGGAACCTGTTCAGGTACACCGACTGGATTCACCTGTCAGTGCCCTGCTGGCTACGAAGGACCAACATGCGAAGTCGGTATGTTTTATGTTATAAGTCCAAATTATGCGACAACACAAGTTTTTCTTACGAGTTTTTGTATAATCAAAGTTCCAAAGAGGAGCTCCACTCTATGTTGTTGTGCATGCCGACAAGCCTGACCAATCACAAACGCATGCCACAATCTGGTTGGCCAATACGTAAAAAAGTGGTGGGCCTATTGAACTATTAAAGCAATTCAACTGCTCCCTGATATTGGTCATTCAGAAACTCAAGTAACAATTTTGTACTTCGTTTTGTTTTCCTAGTTGCTAGCTGTTTGCTTTCGCTTGACCAATCCGATGGTCTTATTATGATATCGGGTCAGCAGGCTGTATACCTTCCTGGTGACTTGGTTGAGTATGAATACCCGGACGGACATCAGCTCAGCGGGTCCACAGCTAGGATTTGTCAGCCTAACTTTACTTGGTCGGGGAAGCCGGCTGAATGCAAAGAGGGTAAAGAATGTTTTCCTACTGGTCCTAGATAGTCAGCCCTCTACCTTCAGTCGACTTTGTACCCATTAACTTACTGTCACTTGCGAATTAGACAAGTTACCTATATCTACTGACTGAGTGTAACCTGTGCCTTAACGAGGCTTGCCTTATCCATTATGTGATGTATCATCTACACCTCAAGGGCATAAGTCGGGTGCATTTGTTTCATGTACTTTCATCATGCATGGGTAGGCAATTAGTCACGTCTCCTTGCGAATGGCGCAAGTGGATTGTTCACTTTCATCACGTTATCACTAAACACTTATTATTCTACTAACTGTATAGCCCATCTGAATCAATTTGCGCATTGGGTCTAGCTTTACTTGTCTTGTTTTCAAAGCTGCAACCTCCGCTTTTAACGATATATACATTTTGTACTTGACTTGGGTAACAACCGAAATATAGGACCCGGCAACAGGTAACAACCCCAAAAAGGCAAAGGAAAAAAATATCATTGGGATTAAGCGCAAATTTGATGATAGAAGGGGTCGGGGGAAGCTATGCCAAGTGCGTATTATCATGATCAGCGCCATCGAACCTCAGGTGAGCACCTCATTTTCTTTTTTTTTTTTTAATCTGCCACAGACAATCGAATTGTTTTAATGAAACGCAATTATCGGCATCCACTGAATACGCTTTTGCTTGTTAGACAAGTAGATTTCTTTAATTGTTTGTCCTGAACCTCTGCTATTTAATCTCTTTCGTCAAGATTTCTGTGGTGTCAGACCGTGCATTAATGGAGGAACCTGTTCAGGTACACCGACTGGATTCACCTGTCAGTGCCCTGCTGGCTACGAAGGACCAACTTGTGAACAAGGCATGTCTTTAATATTTTGTTTCCTAAAAGTCCTCGACATTATTTTTCAACATTGTCTTTTTAACTTCAATCAAATGAAAAAAAGTCAATTTTAAAACAGTTTCAACAATCCTACAGGCCTATCGCGAAAAAGTATCTCTCATAGACAACGGAACAGTTTTGATTATATAAGCGCCAATGAACTAATCGCCACTCATTGCATTTGTGTATTTTCTAAGTTCACCAATAACGTTTCCTTTGTTACAATTTTCCAGTTGTTGGCTGTATGCTCACCCTCAACTCATCCGAAGTCCTCTTGTTAATATCGGGTGAGCAGGCTGTATACCTACCTGGTGACGTGATTGAGTATGGTTGCCCTGACGGATATCACCTCAGCGGGTCCACCACGAGATATTGTCGGTCAGACTTCACGTGGTCCGGTCAGCCCGTAGAGTGCATAAAAGGTTATATATATAAGATATGTAAAATTCGATCTTTAATTTGCGGATTTGACCATCAATTTTTAGATATCCTTCATTTACACGCTTATATATATAACAATTTGTTTTTCTTAAATGGTTACTGCGTAAACAATTCTAAAAACGAGATATAATTTTAACTTAAATTTGTCAAAGGAATACTTTTACTGGTTTGATGTTCAAGAACATTACATTGGAAAACACGCAAGCGATTTGTCAAATGATTGTTAATGCAAATGACTTTTGAATCGGAAATGCTCCGAATTACATTTAAAAAAATGTGACACTGGATGCCTTTTGGTGTCTTCCGGAAAATGTGGAACAAGTCCGACGTACAATGAACGAAACAAATCTGCCTCTTTTAGATCATGCTGCCCAAACAAGAACATACTACACCCCGGTTGTACCAATTGTTGGCGGTGGAGTTGGCAGTTTCATCTTCATTCTGATTGTCGTCCTTGCTGTCTTAGCAATTAAAAGGTTTGTGAACAATCTATTTTGCAAATTTCATTTACTCCATTCACCCTATTTTCATCAGAATTTTTGGCTGGTAACTGATTTTTTTTGTACTTCATTTTTTTGGCAGGCGAAAACCACGTCCACGGCTATATCATGCGGTCCAGAACAGACTTGCTACCGAGCTCGGTTGTATCATTCCTGGAGAGGGCATCCATCCTTTCACGGGGCCGGTATATCAGGAAACCATCCTCGATAATGGTTTGACCAACACCTACGAAGATGTGCCTTCCTGTTTCGGCCAACTTCCACCGCTGCCTGCTAAAACATGTACTGAGGATGACGTGGAGACATACTGTAAAATGAAATACTAGTCCTGCGTTTGCACGTACTACAAATAAAATACCACCGTTTGTTGAATTCAACAAACTTGTTCTAAACTCTGTAGTAAAAACTTCTCACCTAAAGCACTATTTCATGGGGTGGATGTGTTAACTGTTGCGCACGCATGATGAAGATTCCTATGTTACGTGACTAATTTAAGCAACTGTTTCCTCTTAGGTTAACGTGCCTTTTGTGTGCTTACTGCATGCTTCTGGTCTCCATTAAAAAGAGGGAGGTTCGGCTGGCAGAAAATTGTGTGCTTAGCAGCGCCATGAAATTGGGCCCAGTTCATTATCCGGTCAATATAATTATTAATAACTCGTCGGGCCGATACTGGAAATGAGAACATATTGAGACTAAGAACCCAAAACACAATGTTTCATCTCGAGTTGCTCAAGCTGCACAAGGTACTTGTAATCTATTTAAGCTCTCATTTGGTAGCTTGTGTGAAAAAAACCCCGATTATCAGGCCCAAAATGTGGTACATTCCATGCGCACTCTACGTATTGTCAGTAAAGGCTAAGCCATCAAGAATGCTCCTCCCCCACCCCACTTTTTTTTCTCAGCGAATATCGGCTAAACACAAGGCGGAGACCATTCAAAAAGTCTGGACCACAAACTAGGGAGACCTGCCGGCGTTTGTTAATGGTGTAAATCTAGGACACACACGTGCAACATCATCGATGAATCGAGGACAGGAACCAAATCGAGGACTCCTCAGTTAGAAAACGTGTACAAAACCAATGAGAGCTGGAAACAAAGGAAAAGGGAAGAGGAACAATAGAAAATCCTCGATTTACACCATAAACAAACGTAGATGTGTGAGTATGTAAACACCGGCAAACGTTGACCTACGAAAAAAAGGTTAGGGCACAAACATACGTCAGCGATTGACCGAACGTCCACGATTGAAATTCGTGTACCAAACCGATGAGAGCTGTTGCTAAAAAGTTAAGAGTACAAACAAGGACTGAGGATTAGGGGCAACGGGGGTCCACGATTACCGGTTACGAAGATGTGTGTGTGTGTGGGTGGGTGGGGGGGGGGGTGATAATGCAATAAGCCACAGTGACGGAAGGTAGAAGTTCACATTTCGTTTCAATCGTGACAGATTATGGGTTGACAGAAGCAATATTTAGGTACAGAGTTCCAAAAAGAAGTAGTATGAGGGGGGAAATGGAGGATTATCCCGCAGCTGACATGGTTCAAAACTCATGCAGGAATTCGCACGAAATGGTGATGGTCACCAGCTCCTTTTCGGTGAATTTGGGTGATTTTAAGTTTTTAAAAACATTTTTTGAGTGACATTTTTTTCCAATTAGTTACACAGACTCGACTGAGTACGCGAACTATATGAATGAGCGTACGGCTTGTAGTTTACAAACGTGTATACGGAATTTTGTTATCATTAATTTACTTTTCATTTATTTACGTAAATGCATGGAATGAATTGAATGAAACGTATTTTGTATTGCTAACATAAATATCTTAATACCCAGGCAGATTGTGTGCTAAACGGAATATGCTACATATTTTCATCACATTAAACGGAAAACCTCTAGACGTATCGGTTTAAGAGTTATCTATTATGTAATCGGTTATTTTGAGTAATCAATGAGAACCGATCAACCATTGATTTCAAAAAGAAAATCATTTCCCCCCCCCCCAAAACCATCACGGTTCAGAGAGAACGGTGCTTTGTTTTGGACGACTCATGTCATCATGATTCGGGCCAACTTGAAGATATTTTTGGCTTTAGTTTAACTGCAGTAATTATAACTGGAACGCTATAATAATATAACACAAAGCTGATAAACTATTTCTTAGATGCAAACGCCATCAGCGTTTAGATCGCCATATATGCATGGTTTTGAATTACCCTTTAAACCCGTAGACATGCCTACCATTAGCTTTAATGGGATACATTGAAATGATTGTAATATTGTAGAATATGGTTGATTTCACTGCTGTAGTTGCCACCGGATAGTCCAAGACCTAGACCAAGAACGAGACCTTCAAGAGAGCCCGAGACCGCGGATAGTAAAGAACATAAATGTAAAACATAATAATAAATTAATAAATAAAAAGCATGCATCTAGACATGTAATTGAACTTGCAACCTTTTGATTTGATTGTAGGGAAGAGCAAATTACGTAAAAGAACATTACGGGCCTGTCAAACTCCAGTGACAGCGACGTGGCCAGGGTTCTCATCCTAGGGGGCGTGTGTTGGGAGGGGGGGTTGAGGTAACAATGGAGGGGTGCCCAAAAATTGTGCTGAAAGGTGAACAGGTTTGTTTCACCGGACCCCGCCCTCAGTTAATTCAAATAGTAGGGGTGGGTGTGTGTGTGTGTGTTGGGGGGGGGGGGGGCGCTGTTCAAAACGTTTATCATGGCTACATTAGACAGTAACTACCGCTACTCGCTTCCCAATGGACATTACAATAAACGGCCTCTCGCGAAAGAAAAACTTTTGGTGAAAAATAGGCAGACAATCGTGGAAAAAGGGACTTTATAATCTTCCAGCTAATCATGGTAACTCATATGACTGTGCTTTTCTCCTGATGCCCAATTTTCAGTGCCCCCTCCCCCTGTAGCTACGCCGCTGTGCATTGATAACTAGCCTACATCGAAAACGAGACGAAAAATATAAATAATGTTGGCCAGAATTACGAACGATACTGAACGAAAACAAAAAATGCAATGTAATCGATATTAAGAGCGATAAAAGCAGCATATTGCTGGTTTCGACTCGAGACCAACAAAAGTATCAGACAACAGGGTACCGAGACCGATACCAAGACCGAGACAAGCAAAAATTGTCTCGAGACCGACCAAAACCGGTCTCGAGACCTACTCTGGTTGATTTCACCTTGGTATACTTCAAAACGCGATAAACGCCATTTTGTTACTTTTTAGCATTCTGATTCATCCTGGCTGCCAAAGTCAGGAGTTATAGATCAAAGGCAAAACTAAATATTAGTATTAAAAAGTTGGACCTGATAAGGCACCTAGAAGAGCAGAGTATAACGCATACTAAATTATAAAAGTAAGGAGAAAAACGCTTAGAAATAGAGGGTCAAATCGTCATTTATAAAATTAATGTAAGCAAACTAATAACAACAAGCAGTCAATACTTGACCAAAAAAATGTTATCGTTCAATAGTTGTATGGGGTATAGTATAGGGCTGTTATAGCGGTTTAGTTTTACCCCGAACAATCATGAAAGTTTGCTTATGTCTGGTGCTATAGTAAGAGACTGAATCACAGGTATATGATGTACTTTGGAGGAAGGGACATACAGAGCTTTTTTGGTCTGTGCCCAAGTATATCCAAAGCGCGTTGTTGCATAACATCATCACAGAGCGTGTAGAAGTTGCCCAGGATGATCATAAAGGCTCCCATTTGCACAAGTCCGATGGACTCGCAATGCTGTCGTAACAGTTTTGCTATCACGGATGATGTAACTCAGAGCACGATTCTGTTAAATACAGGTGGAGAGTGTTGTTTTTGTAGAACGTATTGCAAAATATTTTAAAGGAAAATACCACGGTGGCAAGGGATCATTTGCATCTTCCTGACACCAAGCAAACAAGCTAGACAAAATGAAAAAAACTACCGAATTTATAACTGTCTGACACGTTGTTATTCGGAAGAAAGGTTATTGTCAGTCATGTTTGTGTGTGTGTGTGTGTCTCAATCATACGTCAGCTTAAATGGATACATTAACCCATTAAAGGAATTGTGAATCTGATCACTATAGGTCGTCGAAGAAGTGACTCAAAACTATGATTCTTTTTTTTTTTTATGTACTTCTCTTATTTCCTTCTTTAATGTTTACAGATTTTGTTTTTATATACAAGAGTACCGTCGGTATTTCTCACGTCAATCAATAAAGTTATATTTCTTACAAACTATTAACTGCAAAACCTATATTTTTGTGCGAGGAAATAGATTTCTTAGTTGCTTTAACTGCGGGAATTTGTTTCATATTCTATGTGACATAATTGCGTTTTGTAAATGCTTGTACAGTGATATTGATTTGTTATATTGTGTCTTGGCAAGGGCTACGCGCCGTGAAAACTGAATTTTCCCATATACGTCATGTACATGCACAGAGCACAATTACCATTCATACATATGAATAATTAATTAGCCATAATTCCAAAACCCTTTGACCTATAGTCATGTCATTTCTTGGGTATGTTCATGATGAGATGCTCTATGCATGTACCGAGTTTCAACATTTTTCGTCACTCGATGGCTGAAATCTTGGGGGTGGGGTGGGGGCGGAATCCGCCCCCCTTCCGGCTGAGAGATGGTCAAAATAACCCGGCCTGATTAGGGTTAAGCCCAGAAAACAAAAAGGGGGAAAATTAGCGGGAGGTTTCCGTAATTTGGGCTAACGTCGATGGGGGACTTGAACGTCGATGGGGGACTTGAACGAAATCTCCCAAATTTAGGTGGAAAACAAAAAACATTTTGACGTATTTACATGATTATTAAAAACAACCATATAATGCAGCACACGTAGTTGCGTGCCAAGGTCATGATAAATAATGCCATCCGTACTTCCTTCAAAAGATTATGCGAAGCGTTTTAGCCCTTCCCTGCTCCCTCTTTGCAGGTCATGTTGGGTGGTACGATCGAAAAAAAAAGACCATGACATAAACAATTGGAAAAGACCAGTGTGTTAGCTGCCACCAAAATCTCAAAAGTCTGAATATAATAGCCACCATTCCCAAGAGAATTTCAGGTATCACCCCTTCTGTTCGTAAGGGTTACAGGAAAATATGCCAAGTTTGGTGCTTTGAACCAGTCGGTCACGCTTTCGACCATGCCACGTACCTTACTATATATTTGGCACCATTCATGGGCGTCGCGTGGGGGGGGGGGGGGCAAGGGGCGCTTGCCCCCCCCCCCCCTCGGAAAAGCAGTGGTGGTGGGGTAGGCAAATGTCCCCCCCCCCCACTCAAAACGATGATAGATTGAGAGCATGCTAGCGAATGTACAAGGATTTGGGAAGAAATGTGCTTTGTCCTGGCCCACCCTCTCATCAAGAAAATAATCCTGGCGATGCCAATGGCACCACTCCCTAGAGTTAGAGTAAATACTAGGAAAGATGATTTTTTTTCCAAGCTAAGGGGCTAAATAAGAATCAGACAAACAAACCAAATTCCCTCGTAAATATTTGTAAGAGGGTCAGTAGTTTGATATTATGAAACTTGCTAGAATTTCACTCCATCAGCGCGATATGCCAGTGCCAGGCGGCAAATTTTCTTTTCCCAAACGAAATCCGCATACATGGATACTTATTTGATACGCATGCAGGTACATAATTATTTCGCTCGTCCCCCCCCCCCGCCCTGCAAACAGGACGCTGGGATACTCTGATGAGCTTCAAAGAATCTTGTGAAGGAAGTGGCCTATGACCTATGTATAAAGCATCTGGCTGCAGCTGTTCAAGACCGCAGTTAGACAATGTGCGCAAATGCTATCCGAAAACTTCCCATAGAATTGCGCACATTCCATACCGGATGTGACGAAATTGTAAAATTACACAGATAAGTTTTACAGAATTTCCTACATTAGTACGCTTTTCAACGAGAAAAAAACCCATCTCTAAACTGGATTAAACGAGTAATGAAACAGTCTTAACGGCCGTTTCAAACCTTGCAGAGTCATGACCTTGCTGACGCGCAGGTCACTGGTCACGCAAAATCCAACCAATCAGAGCGTGAATTCATCAGAGTATCCCAGCGTCCTGTTTGCAGGGCAGGGGGTACGAGCGAACATAATTATTTGTTTCGCAGTGCGACAGCTAAGTCGATAGAGGGTAGGATTTTGCGCCGCGATGTTGCGGGTTCGAATATCGGTTTTGCACCCAAAATGTTTTTCCTTTTCTAACCTGTAGTTTTGGATGATTTTTTTTTTTAAGGGAAAAAATAATGTCCGAATTTCATAACGTTCAAATTCACTTTTTTTTCTAATTTTATATTTTCTTCTCATTTTTTTTTTTTTTTATAAAAGTTCAGTCCAAAATGCCATAGCGTACTGTGGATGTCGTTTGGGAGAAACAAAAATCGCCGACCGAAGGTCGTGCGGCGCGGAACAATAATTGATGAGACAGAATACGGGGTGAGCTTGGTAAGGTTAAATGCCTCTAAATAGTGAACTGCTGTATATAAGAATGAATGTAGAAAAGATCTACGTAAGAACATTCATGGGAACAGCGCGGTGCACTTTCTCGCAGCTTTGAAAAAAACCCAAAGAAACTCTGCCTCTGCGGAAATGAAAGGCCTGCAGATCTTATCGCAACACAATACGATGCACATCAGTTTCAAAACGCAAAGAGAAAAGCACCTACTGAAATAGCCTGGTGGTTAAGCTTTTTTTTTTTATATATTTCAGTCAGCGCAGGTGGCTTTGTCAATTAATTTAGGAGCTTCAATTTCCCGGCGTCAATTACAAACAGCAGTTAGCTCAGTCGGTTAACTCCCAAGTTTGGGACTGTCTGCGATGTCCAGGTTGGCATCTGCGTACAGGTGTGGGGTTCTTTTGCTCACTCGGCAGTAGGGGGGCGACCTCGTTTCCCTTTTTTATGGTGCTTGACTTTCAAGAAAGGCCTTCGAGACAGCTCGAGGTAAGTCGTTAATATAAATCATGAGCATGGAGGACCCAATTATTAAACCCTGTGGAACACCAAGCTTGATCAATTCCAAATCAGATAAAAATCTGCTTCTATTGAAATGTTTAGGATATCACGGTTGATTAGAAAATAGATTAGTTCACACACACTTCCTGCTATTTATTTTCTTACAGTTTCGACACATTCTACAAGCGCTTTGGGCGTTGCGGAAATAAAATAGAGAGCAAAAATACTCCCAATAGCAATAATTAGGAGCAAGAGTTCCTCTTTTTTTTGTAGTTGTACATTATTATGCCAAATAAATCCACTAGGAACATTGGTATTAACTCGAACGAACCTACCGATTGGATGAGAAAAAAAAAGTAAAGAAAGGACCGGTTCTGGAATACCTGGTGAAATTATGCTGTCTGAGATAGTTTATTAAAGGTGATTGAAAAAATTGTCATTATACTGCGAAGATTAAGCATCACTATAGGACCTCGATGTCACGACACTAACCAGCTGAATGAGAATCATATCCCGAGTGCAGATTGAAGGATTTTACAGGAGAGGCTAAAAAGGGCAACTTTTGAATCGAAAGTAATAGCAACGGAAATTCATGAATTTCGTTGCACAAATCGACATGTACAGACATAAATCTAAATGTAAGACAATATAAATGTGTTACTTTGGGCACATTCGTGCAAAAGAAATGAGGGAAACTCTCTACGAATCATTTCAATACTAAAAATATAATGTGCATCCCTTTTGGAATATTTCCCTGTTTAAGCTCTTTGAAAGATTTACAGTTTAGCATTTTGAAAGATGTAATTATTATCTGTAACTACAGTTAAAAACACTTTACAGTTCAAATTTCTACGTTGTAATAACTGGTAATAAAACAGAACAAACACAGCAGAAAGCAGGTAGAAAAGAAAATACATGAATTGCAAACACTCCTCAAAGGATGTTGATGAAACTTCATAACTAAACAGCCGATTTTTTTTTTAATAAAACAACATTTCAGTCTAAATCCTTCTCATTATCTAAATGCTTGAGGCCTAACATAAAACAAGCTCTACTCGACTTTTTATGCATTTACCGCTTAATTGTCTTCAGGCCCAACTAGCTCTCATTTCCCCATTGAGGCACGTCACCGTATTACTCGACTTTCTTCTCCAGGCCAACCATCTCAGCGCTGAGTTCCCACAGTCGGCGAGCTGAATCGTCGTCCATAGCAAGTTTACTGGCCTTGGCCGGAGCGCAGTCGCTGCAAAACAAATGAAGTATTTACAACTGACTTCATGTTTATACGATCTGAATTCGGTCGCAAAACCCCCAACCCGGAGCACAAACAACAATCCAAAGGACGAACATTAGAGGCCTTCATTCCATATTTAATGTTCAGTAAATCGAACCGTCGAAACTGTATGGGAGGGACCTTAAACGCGGGTCTGTATGAACTGCATATTTTAAAGAATAAACAGAGCGTCCCAATGCGAAGAATATAGCCTAGCCATCACGGTCGACTGCGATTTTGTGCCAATGCAGTTCCAGAAGGATCGATAGGAAGGGGGCCGCCCGATAGTCCGAAGGTCCGATAGTCGGAAGGTGCTTGAGTCCGAAGGTTCGATAGTCCGAATGCACACAATTTCCATAAGAGGGGGTTCGTTAGTCTGAAAATGAAATAAGGTTCTTTAATCCGAACATTTAATGCAATAGTCCGAAGGTTCATTAATCCGAAGGTTCATTAGCCCGAAGGTTCTTTTATCCGAAGGTTCGATAGTCCAAATTTAGAATAAGGTTAATCAGTCTGAAGGTTCAATAGTCCGAAACAAAAATAAGGTTCAATAGTCCGAAGGTTCATTATTCCGAATTGACAATAAGGTTAGATAGTCCGAATCGACAGTAAGGTTCGATAGTCCGAATCGACAATAAGGTCCGATAGTGCGAATCAACAGTAAGGTCCGATAGTCCGAAGTGTCACACTGACGAATTCGGACTATCGAACCTTATTGTCAATTCGGACTATCGACCATTATTGTCAATTCGGACTATCGAACCCTACCGTACATTCAGGACTATCGAACCTCATCATCTATTCGGACTATCGAACCTTATTGTCGATTCGGACTATCGAACCCTGTCGTCTATCCGGACTATCGAACCTTCGGGTTATCGAAGCTTCGGACTATTGAACCTTCGGACTGGCAAACCTTCGGACTAATGACCCTTCGGACTAAAGAACCTTCGGACTATTGAACCTTCGGACTATCGGGCTGTAACCGATAGGAATGGCAGCAGGCTCGTGAAGAAAAGTAAACGTGAAATCTTATCAGTTGTTGCGGTTTCGAATCCGAGTGAGGCCATTTTGGCTTCTCTTTTTGTTAGTTAACCGAACATAGTGGGGAAGGATACATTTCGTACCGTAAGACATAAAGCTTTTGCTAGGGTATGTATTGTCGATAAAAAAGGCATTAGATATGCACCTAGTAGATCAATTAGCGATGGGAATTCCAAACTGCATGGGAAAAGCACAATCCGTGGCTGGATAGCTATGGGCAATCCCCCCACTAACTTAAGAGGTGACTCGGTTGGCACAGTGGAACTCTTATCGGTCTCCATACTAATTTGTCCAGATCGAATCCCCAATCAAGTGGATAGGATAAACGCCAGGATTATAGGATCGACAGGGGCTTCAGTCTGTGTGTAGCCCTATTCAATGCTTACCTGAAATAAAGACCAGTTGTCTCTGCCAGCTCCTCAGCCACTGCGCAGTAGATGGAGGTCTGAGCCCCTTGCACTGGCGTCTTCGTCATGAACTTGCCAAAGGGCGTGGACATGAATCTAGTGATAATCCGCCAGAGCAAATTCACAGCATCCGCCACGTAACGACTGAGCTCTGTAGACACATTACCAGGATGCAGGGCATAAGTAGTCACTCCACTACCTGTTCAAAGATTTCAAAAACATACCGGTATTGCAAGCACATGGCTCTTATCAAAAGATTCTACTTAATGAGAGCAACTGGGCAATTCCACCAAAAAGTGAACAAAACAAAATGGAAACTGTATGAAATCTTCCAAACTACAAGCATCACAACATCAAATGTGGTATCAAATTAAAGGGGACAACGCGATCTTTCATTTGAGTGGTTTGTCAATGAGATGAAATGTAGTTAAGTGTGATTATTTGAAAAAAAAAACCCCTGTTTTGGCTAAAATCATGGAAAATGTTTTGGCTTAACATGGAAAATGTGACTGTTATGGAGATTTTTTTGTGTCGAAGGCAGAGAGAAAGACTAATATATTATAACATAAGAGTTTCATTATGTTGCAGTTCATCAGACTCATATTTTATGCCGTGTTAGCAACCATGGAGTTGAAGTAACATGAGTGACGGTACCTCCCTGTAATCTAATGTCTCTTGCATCTACATTACGTACACACTTATTTGATTCAAAATGGGTTTTTGTAATATAATGTTACTTCTGTGTTGCAGACTACAGTTTGTGAAGACTGTAACGGTGTAACAACAAAATTGCAGGACAATTGTCCACGTTCTTTTTTTTGTAACGTGAGTGACGACCAACAAAACACATGTTTTCAAAAAGTAAAAGAATGGATTGAATTTTGCTTTCCATTGTTGAGTACCCCTTACCCCAACGTTGTTGTACGGCTGGTTTGATTCAGCTGGATCAAATACTTTTGAAGCAGTGAGAGGTCAACAAATAGCCTCATGACATAAAAATGCAACGTGGATGACGGTGGAATTGCCCTACCACATGTAGCCTGTGTGTGTGTGTCTAATAGAATTATTTGATTAAGGCCTGATGAACCTAGCAAGGCTGCAAGCTTGTTGTTCCAAGATTGATTTATATTTGGTGGTAGCTTTTATATGTCGATGGTTATGATACGATGGACTTGCAGGTTCCAACACCTTACCTTTGAGACGTTTGCCCAGCTCCCTTGTGAAGAGCACATTGGCAAGCTTGCTCTGGCCGTAGGCTGCAATCGGGTCATAGTTGGTCCTCATGTTGATGTCTTCCCACCACATCTTACCAAAGAAATCATGGCCAATGGAGGAGACGTTGACGATGCGGGCTGGGGCTGAAGACTTGATGAGATCCAACAGGAGGTTAGTCAGAAGGAAGTGGCCCAGATGGTTGACACCAAACTGCATCTCAAACCCGTCTTCTGTCTTCCATGCGGGACACATCATGATACCTGCAACAAAGTTCCCATAAAAACGAACGGACCAAGGATGTAAACTTTCACGCCTCCTTTTGTAAATGCATGTATGGGCATAAATTACAAATGCCCACAACCGACAATGACCTTAAATCCCAAGCAGTTGACGAGAAACGTTACCATCAGGTTTGGGACCTATCCAAACAATGAGAAATCTCCGGTGTACACAAGCATGACGCACTCAGGCTTTGCTCTCCTGCACGGACTAAGTTTATCCAGCCAGAATTAAAAAAAAAAATCGATGGTCTGAGAAGTTTTGTCTAAATCGGAATAATTGCTCTACAACCAGAAAAAAGAATGGGCTTCAGGCCTACTCTCTCAACAATGTAAAATTCTCTCTCTATCACTCACGACCCCTTCCCAGCGTGCACTGCCGGAATGAGAACCACAGATATAGATTATGATATAGATTATAAGAAAGAGGGTCAATATTTACATCTAGATATTGTTTGTCGCAATAGTATGCATTCAGTTTAGAAAACAACAGCTATATCCAGATAGGTTGTACAGATATTGGAACATTTTAGCAAAGGCTTTGGGCTATCCTCCATATAACGTTAATTGTTTTAGCCTACGCCTCTTCTCTTTTTGTTTGTTTGATTAATTTGTTTGAGAAATCACGTATAAATAAGCATACATTCAGGATAAATTTATGTACATATTCGAGCTTGCAGCCGGTCATGCAAGGACCTACAACAAGAAAACAAAAAACAATACGAATATCGTGACTTAACATCGTGGCCTCGCTAATATACGTTCTTGAATTTCTAAATGACCTCGTTCCCCTACATAAGGAAACAAAAAATGTGGAAAGCATTTTGTTGAAGGCCACCAAATGTAGAAAGACCCTGTGTGCTTTCAACCTAAGGCATCATTACAAAGCTCAGCCAGAAGTGTTAAATGGTCGTGTCTCTCAATTTCATATTTGAAATCTGCACTCCCATTCAACATATTTAAATGACAAACTCACCCGCATTGTTGATGAGAATGTTAAGTCTGGGCTCCTCTGCTTTGATCTTCTTTGCACATTCTCTCACCGAGGCCAGGGAAGCCAAGTCTAGTTTGACCACTACCAGATTGTCGCTGCCGGTGTCTTTGCGGATGTCAGCCACGGCTGCTTCAGCCTTGGCAATATCACGGCACGCCACTATCACCCTAGCACCTACACAAATCAAACGAACATCCATGTACAAACGTAGCTGTTCTATCTGTGGTCATTCCCACATAGCTACCCAATTTCGATTTTTAAAGTTGAGCAGAGAAATTTACTGGACAGGGATTTGAACCTCCGAATTGCCAGCCCTCTATAGTATGATGGCCATTTTGAAAAAAATGGTGATAACACCTAAAAAGCTGCCACTGCTGCAATGCTATCGCATATTTTCAATCTCTGGAGGTGTATACCTTGCCAAAAATCGCCATGACGATTATTCTCCTCATTTGATACCGGTTGCCAACATTTTGGACCGAGGCTGATGGCCTAAAGGAACGATGAATTGCACCACCAAGAGTTTACCTGCACCGACGAAACCTTTTGCTTGTAGTGCATACGGAGGAAAGTCGAGTTAGAATTGCTATGTTAAAACTAATGATGTGTCAGTGAGGCTTCCAAAGTAGCATATGAATTATTTTGCATGGGGGTGGGGTGGTGGGGGGTGGGGGAGGGGGGGGTGGGGTGGTGGGGGGTGGGAAAGGCGGGGGTGTGGCGGTGGCTTCATGCAGAATAGGAAGGTAGCAAGCATTTTTCCCGGTAACCCGGACATCGCAAAACAAGAAAGTTAACGATCTTGGACACCAGCAAACAATAGGCAGGGCTCATTGCTGCCTCACGTGGAAAAACACCTCGCACAACTGGGCCTCCAAATGCTTTGTGTTTGTGCGTTATTGCCAATAAAATCCCGTAAACAGTGGACAGGTAGCTAGGTAGCTACACAAAGCTGCAGGATAACACGTCTTCATGGTGTCCGTGGTGAAAGTAAGCCGTATCTTGGAGGTATCTTCTAGATGGCGTGAGTCGCTAATGCAACAACTAAATTAACTTCAATGACAGTCTTATTTATCAGTCGGCCTAATACTGCCCCTTTGTTTTCCTTCGGGAACATACACAGTTAGAAGGGGACAACATCATACCTCTCCTGACGAGATCTCTTGCTGTCTCCTTGCCTATACCGGTGTTTGCACCGGTGATGAGGACCGTCTTACCGTCAAGACGAGCCTTGCTGTAGCACCATCCTCCCTCAAAGAACTTTCGCAGCATCCATAACAGCCCTGCAGATGCTGTTAATAACAGAACAAAGTAGGCTACATTGTTAAGGCCTGAATGTGTACATTAGTCATAATTAGACGTTTGCCTGTTTTACTGTCGATCCTTATATTTTCAGGAAACATACTCCAAAAAAACAACAACACATGTTTACTCCATAGAAAAGGAAAATCTTTGATAATAATAAAAATTGCTATATCATAATACTCATTACCAGGTAAACTTTCCATCTGGAGATTTTGCGCAATGATTAATGTCCCACTCATTGCCCTCCCCCCCCCCCCCTTCAGGACAACACATGTTCACGTACACAAACATTGACTGACTTTGACAGATATAACTATACTGATACGCAATCAGGGGCGGATCCAGGAATTTGTGCGGGGGGGGGGGGGGGGGGGGGGGTGGGGAGTTTCATCAGCAAAAAAATCTGAAATGTGGACAGGGTTTTTTTTCTCCGGACGTTCTGGTCTCCATAAAATCAAAAACTTCCTTCAGGTACCATATTTCAATTGGGGGCGCTGTTCAAATTCAACGATTATTGACACCAGATTACAGAATGGTGTACAAAATACCCCCATCTAAGCTGCCTCTGTCCGTTTTTTGAACAAGCGGACATTATACCAGTATATATATTTTTTGCGGGGGGGGGGGGGGGGGTCAGAACAGGGGGGCGGGTTTGCATTATTTTTGGAAATTTCTAGGATTTTTTTTTTACAGCTGGATCCGCGTCTGCCAACACCGATAATTTGTACAGCAGCGATGTTCCACAAAAAGGCAAGTTACTATATGCACTGCAATACCGTTTGTATTTGTCAAGCATGGGTCTGCAAATCTGAAGTGCAGTGACCCCAACCTCTGATAAAGCTTTTGCTAAGTGTAGACTTACCATTATTAATGGGTCACAGAAGTGTACGGGCTGAAATTATAAATTGAGGTTTTGGGGCTAACACAAAAAGATGTAGTCAAACAACCAGCTTTCTTCCGTCGACTGATGTGGAAATGAAAGCGACGTATATTCCCTGTAGCCCTGTGTTGACCTGATATTTATTGTTAGATTTGGAGTCAGTCGGCCATTATTCATTTACAGTACACACATACCCCCGTTCGGGCCATAATAGAAACGCAGTACGTGTATGCAGTGTATCTGGTAGGAAGCACGTATACTGTAAACCGTTTAGCTCACATGATGGCACGATATGGTGCCTATAAGTACGTTAGTAGTACACCGAATTTCTCACTTACCGACAACAAAAGACACGACAAGCAAAAGGTCCATACTTGGTTGTACACTCTTCTAATTTATGGTAAGCTTTACTGCAGTTGTACGTTAACCATGTCTGAATGATTCAGCAGAATTTCCTAGATATGACCCGCGCTCTTAAAGGTTCACTAGGTCCTGGAACAGCCCAATTGGGCTACAAAACGCGCTTTGAACGAGATGATGATAATCGGAAATAACTTTTAAAAGTAGGATATAAACATCCACACAACTATCCTTTCAAAACTGCGCGTTTTTGTGTTATTCTTGTATTATGCGTGCGAGAACGAATTTCGGGGTCCACTAGCTTTTGCGACCCCATAAATTCGAGCTGTTTGGATGCTAGTTGTGATTTCATTCGTACGCGTAAAGTGTTCGCCTTTTGCGGACGTTGAAGAAACCACAATTTTTGCATTGGTGATTGGTCACCGCGCGCTGTTCCCGAGACACACAATTTTCATTTCATTTCATTTCATTTATTAATTTCACAGGTAAAAATTCAAGTACAGACAATAAGAACAGTAAAGAAAACAAAAACATGCACATACAGTTAGGAGAGAGAACAAGAAAAAGAGAAAAAAAAAGTAGCACCCCTGATGGATTTTAAAAAAGTAAACTAAATTACTATCGAGTTAATCTCCTGATGCCACAATTTAAGAAGAGACAATACAAAAGGACATTACAAATGGACATTATTAAAACATGGCTTACAGTATAAGAATATAGAACTATACAAGCAGTTAAAACTTTAAAAGCACAAATGGGCATTAAAAAATACAGATTCGGTAAAAGAGAGATTCGAGTGAATTATAAAGCAAAAGGCACTATAAAATTGAGAAGAAAAAACAAGCAGCAAGGTATTTGAATGGGCAAGGCAACTAGAAATTTAAACTGTTTTGGTCAAGGGGACCTCCTGGCCAGGGACTAATAAATGATTTCTGAGAGAATTTGTTAAGGAGGATAAACTATGGATAATTGTATCTTTAATGCATGCCGGTAGTTCATCCCATAATCTAGGGAATCTGTGAAAAAGAGAATGATGGGCAGCATTGGAACGAGCCCGATGATGGACAAATTTAACAGATTCGATATGTCTACAATTAATGGGAATTAGAGTGTCAGTGTTAACGTCAAATGTATTATATAAACATTTAATAACAAACGTAATTGAAAGGAAATGAACCCTGTTGATTAAAAGAGGCAGACCCAGCTTGACACACCTGTCTGAATATTCAATTTCATTTACAGAATCAATTAAAACCCTTCTCGGCAGACCCAAACAAAAACGGGTGAATCGCCTCTGTACCTTCTCTGGCGTTTTTTGCTGAGTCGAAAGAACAGGGCACCAGACTGGAGCTGCGTATTCAAGTATGGGTCTGCTAATTGAGCGATAAAGTGAAGTCAGAATGTTAGGGTTTCTAGTTTTAACTACTCTACCAATAAATCCGTTGAGTCTAGTGGCTTTGGAAGTGACTTTATTAACATGTGTTTTCCAGCTTAAGTCCCTGGAGATAATAACACCCAAGTATTTGTAACTATCCACATTTTCCAAAGTGTTTTCAGCAATTTTATACAGTGGTTTAGCAGGGTTTCTAGACCTGGTCACAGTCATCAATTTACACTTATTTGGGTTTAAAGTCATACAGTTTAGATTACACCAAGTGTTTATGTGCTGCAGGTCATCCTGGAGTGCCACTTCATCCTCTTGATTTTTAATGACTCTGTACAAGACAGTGTCATCTGCATACTGACGGAGATTAGATTGAATGCAAAATGGTAAATCAAAAGCAAAGATATTGAAAAGAATAGGTGCAAGAACAGCGCCCTGTGGCACGCCAGAATGAACTGCAGCCCAGTCAGATGATGAACCCATAAACTGAACCCGTTGTAATCTGTTTGAAAGATAAGACTTAAACCAGTGCAACGTTGAGCCACAAATACCGTATTTATGTAATTTATTCAAAAGAACTTTGTGACTCACGCGATCAAAAGCTTTTGACCAATCAAGAAATATAGCATCAATGCGGGGCGGTTTTGAAACATCAAGAGCATTGGCCCAGCTATGATAAAGAGTTGTCAATTGAGTAACGCAAGATCTTTTAGGCAAGAAACCGTGTTGTGTAGGTGAGATTGTCCCCCCTCTATACATGTGATTAATGAGATGTTTACAGATAATCCTTTCAAGAATTTTACCAACCACAGAACATAGTGAGATGGGTCTATAATTCGACATAACATGAGCATCACCAGTTTTGAACAAAGGGACAACATTTGCTAGTTTCCACTCATGCGGAACTACACCTGTGGCAAGCGACAAGTTAAAAATTTTAGCTAATGGCTGGGCTAAACTCCCACAAGCTAGATTCAACAACATAGGAGATATATCGTCTGGCCCACAGGATTTGTGCATGTTGAGTTCTGAAAGGAGTTTTTTAACCTCAGCTGGGGTTGTGGAAATGTTACAAAGACGAAAATCGGAATTAACATGATCACAGGATATGTCAATGATATTGTTAGAGTCACAGCTAAAATTACTCTGAAACATGAGATTGAAATTCTGAGCAATATTAACTGGATCATTGATGACACCATTATCAGTTTGAAAACTTGTAATCGTACTCTTACGGCGTTGAGTACTAACAAAAGACCAGAACTGTTTGGGATTATTTGAACAATTCGTAGCCATGTCATTGATAAAAGCACAATACGATTGTCTAGTACGGTATTTGACCTCATTCCGAAGCTTTTTGTACTTAGCCCATAAGTTATGATTAGCTTTGTTACGGATAGCTGCTTTAAAGGCTCTATTCTTCTTTTTGGATAAAATAGTGATATCATGTGAGATCCAAGGATGTTTCTTTCTACCTTTGCATTTGGCTATAGGAACAATATCTTTTACAGCAGCAAACAACAGGTCTTTAAAATAACCCCAAATCTCATCAATATTGTCTGAAGAAAAGCAAGTGTCCCAAGGCACCATACGGAGAGTGTCACATAAGGTATCGATGTTAGCTTTGTTATACTGGTAAAAAGACCGATTCATAGCTTTGTAATCATAAGAGGTTAACATATCAAACTTAACACCATTATGATCACTGTTTCCAAGTCCGGGATGTTGCGTAACATTGGAAAACAAGTCTGGTCTGTTTGTAAATAACAAATCTATCACCGAACCAGGAACAGTAGGTGAATTACCATCACGAGTGGTGAATGTGACTAACTGCTGTAAACTGAGAATATCAGAGATATTAGTCAGACGTGCCGATGATGGTTGTGTACGGGAATCAATGTTAAAATCACCAAGTATTACTATGGCAACATACTGTTGAGAAAATTGTAATATATTTTCTACAACAGATTGATAATCATCGAAAAACTTAACAGAGGCACTAGGAGGCCTGTACAGGCAACCCAGCAACACTTTACCACGTTTAGTATGTATTTCAATCATAATCAATTCAATATCAACATGTTCAAACTCATATTTACGAACTGGAGATAAATGTTTGGCAATTGTGACAAATACACCTCCACCATGTCTGTTACGGTCCTTTCTAAAAATGGCATAGTTACAATCACAACGTGTATAGCGTACATGAGAACGACACGACAATCGTATTCGTACTCCGTCATGTCGGATGTAAAGAAGCGGGGTTTTTTCGTCTTTTCTCGGGAACGGTAAGACATTAGGTCGGTTTCTTTTCAACCAGATGTTTGAAATAGGCTAAGTAAACAATCCAAAACATAACAAGTTTTCGGGGATTTCAGGACCTAGTGCCCCCTTAACATCGGCATGACGTGCAGGTAGAGCGAACTATTGATCGACAATGTCATTATCATTATGCACTCACGCTAGTCTTGGTTCATGACGTCCGTGATCACTCATCCATAGACATCAGAGACCACATAATAGACTATTTCGAAGTTCATTAAGATTGGAAATATTACTTGCGACCCGACAATTATAATCAGACTGCAAAGCGTCTGATCGCTTAGCGTACAGCAGTGTTCACTACAAATTAAAAGTCACACAGCCAATGCAAGATAAAATATGTAAACACAAAGTCACATTTAGGTCGCAAAATCCTGACAAATAAGTGACGAAGCCCAGCAGTTTTCAACTCAAAGTAGTCTAATTCTGATTGATTGATTTACAACAGCGTTCCGGCAATATGGGACTGTATGCCAAAAAAACCTGTCGTATATTTGACATCTAACAGTATCTGAATTACGGAATTATAAAACTATAGTACGTTGAATGTCTACTGCTAATAATACAATCATGTAGTAATACAATCATGTACAAGGCTTCAATGCTTTCTGATTTCTAGGATGTTACACGGCCGCATGTTTTACAGACAAACCACATTAACAATCTTTTTCTAAGTAATGTTCTTTTTCCTCATATGAAAACAGCTCCAAATTCTTTGTTAAGACAAATAACAAACTTGCACCAAGAACTCAAAAGTTGTACGATCCTTTTTCCATGCTCTTTATAACAATACCTTTATTACGCTGATATCATTAAAATAATGTATTATCGGGAAATATATTAGGCAAGCTACTTTGCAACTGTCCAACTGATAGATATCTGCTTCTAATTAAATTTCTCTAATATTACATTGTATTACAAATTACTATACCTCATACATATTCATGATCGAGAGCCGAACTCTCACTGGTCAATTCACCATCACGTGCCAGATGTTATTCTTGCTGTTAACCAAACGCGTGCGCGAGGATTCACGCACAGGGTAAATACGCGTGCGTAGTAGACTGTCGCATGGGTTACCCGTGCGACAGTCTACTACGCATGCGCTTTACAGAGCAATCGAGGAACTGTCGCACGGGTGCAGTACGCACGCGCGAACATCGCCCAGGAGGGAGAGCCATGCATGGTTGCACGGTTCGCGTAAATGTTAATTTCCAGAGCTCAATGATGCCGTACTGGAGAAAGTTTACAAAAGAAAGTTGTACACAAACAACTGTATTTACAACTGTAGTAACTGTATTATATTGCAAACGAACCGAACTAGTAATTGAAGTTGAGCAACCAAAATATTCTTTTGGTGAGATGTACAAGTTTCCCCGAATTTTGTTCTAGGTGCATATAAAAAAAAAAAAAGTCAACTGAATATGTATGAGGTATAGTAAAACAAATATAACATGGTTTATTTCGGGTGGACAGTCGATATTAGCTCCCCTCGGTATTGGAAGTTGACAAACTAGTTCCCTCGGCTTCGCCTCGGGAACTAGTTTGTCAACTTCCAATACCTCGGGGAGCGAATATCGACTGTCCACCCTCAAACCATGTTATATTTGTAAAATAGATAAGTTCACACACATATATTTTGCACAATATGATGCTACCTGCAATTCATTTTCTTACAGTTGAGACACGCTCTACAAGTGCGAATAAAAGTAAAGAAAGGACTGGTACTAAATACCTTGTGAAAGTTATTCTACTTGAGATAGTATATCAAAGGTGATTGAGAAAAATGATGATATTCGTCATATATACCGCAAGGATTAACCATCAGCTGGGACCCCGATGTCGCGATCACTGACCAGCTGAATGAGAATCATATCCAAAGTGCTGATACAAAAAAAAAAAAAAAAAAAAACCGGGAAAATAAATACGGGAAACTCTCTACGAATCATTTTGATAATAAAACAAAATAATTTCTTCCCTTTTTGCTTTTTTCCTTATTTAATCTAACTTAAAACGTACAGTTTAGCATTTGGAATGATGCCAGTCAGCTCTGTAACTACAGTTAAGAATATCTTACAGTCTTACACATTTCTACGTTGTAACAACTGGTTATAAAACAAGGAACAGCTAAGCAGATACTAAAGAAAATTAATGTATCTCAAACGCTCCTCCAAGAATGTTGATGAACTTAATGATAATTTACAGCGGATTTCTCTTTCAGTCTTAATCATTCTGATTCCGTCAATGCAGTAACATAAAACAAGCTGGAGCTGCTGCTAGGTTTGTTTTCGGAATTTACTGTCGCGAGGTGGCAAACCCCAAAGATGATAAGAGTGGTCAGGTTCACCCCCATGAAGATAGAGTAAGGTGGAAAACAAGCAGAATCGAACTTGAACACTCAGACGGCTGTTTATGCTGATTCACTTGATCAAGTTTTAATTAAATTCACTTTCTCCAATTGTACAAAATAATCCAAATGAAGATCCGAATAAAGATCCTAATGAGACGACAATGAAGATCCAAATAAGACCCAGGGAAAGACCAAAATGAAGTCCCTTGAAAAAAATCAATGGGGAGCGCCAATAAAATCCTAAAATCATTCACACTATATTAACTAATGCACCCTTGTCACGGCTATTTCTTCTTTGGGGGAGACCGTTCGCATGTACATCACAATTCTTCTTTTTGCTAATGCAATTTTTTTTTTACGGAAAATTTCGGGGTGGCTACAGCCCCCCCCCCCCCCCCCCCCCCCCCCGTAGAACCGCGCCTGCATTGTGCAGTGAATGTGTACGAAAACGGTCATTCAACTTAAGAAAAGTTTTGACACTTTCACACAAAACTAACACCCCAAAACTATAAGAATCAATCAGTTTGACAATAATCATATCAACCAACCTCTTCTATGTCGTATCCCTTACATTATCTTCTCAATACTTAATTAGAATCCAACTTACCCCAAAAATGAGGGAAAAGTTTGCGACTTTTAGACAAGAGTTGGCTCGGTCTGAGCTTATTTCACGGCCCGCTCGCAAGAGGACAAACCATGTGAGCGCTAGCGCTCTTACCGTAATGCAATGACTACATGTACAACCCCCGTCGCGCATAAAACTGGCTCAGAAGGAGTGTTAACTTTATACTGTTGCTAAAAAATCGTTCTCAAGATAGAATTATCAAATGACATACGTCGACGAACATAATTATGTCCAAACTTGTTAACTAGGGCAATTACGCTGGCGGGGTAAGTACACTAAAAGGAACAACCACAAAATAACATCTCATTATTCATGCTCTTCATGAATTATTCATCATTTAAAACCCCAAAACCCATATCTTTACATTACCACTCAATGTTTTTTTTTTTTTTTTTCTACGAGCAGTCATTATCCGATCAAGGCACGTCTCCAGTTTACTCCACTTTCTTCTCCAGGCCAACCATCTCAGCGCTGAGTTCCCACAGTCGGCGAGCGGCATCGTCGTCCATAGCAAGTTTACTGGCCTTGGCCGGAGCACAGTCGCTGCAAAACAAATTAAGTATTCACAACAGTGACTTCATATGTTTAAGGCCTAACTTCAATATGTAATGTTCAGTAATCCAATAATCGAAACTATCGGGTCTTTATGAACCGCATATTCTGTAGAATAAACAAAGTGTCCCAGTGCGAAGAATATTGCTCATCCATTACGGTCGGCCTCGATTTTTTGCCCATGCAGTTCCCGCAGGATCGACAGGAATTGCAACAGGTTCTTGGACTGATTAAAATTGAACGTGAAATCTAATCACTTATTTCGGTTTTGAATCCGAGTGAGGCCTCTTTGGCTTCTCTTTTTTGATATTATATTTAACTTTACATTAGTGGGAAAGGAAACAGCTCGTACAAGACATAAAGCTTTTGCTTGGTACGTAGTGTGAGTTGATAAAAAGGCATTAGATATGCATCTCATAGATCAATTAGCGATGGGAATTCCAAACTGCATGGAAAAAGCACAATCTTTGGCTGGATAGCCATGGACAATCCCCCCCCCCCCCCCATCATGAAAAATTCATCACTTTGCCACTACCTTAAGAGGTGATTCGGTTGGCGCAGTGGAACTCTCATCGGTCTACGTACTAATTTGTCCGGATCGAATCCACCCAATCAAATGGATGGGATAAAACAAGGATTATAGGATAGACAGGTGCTTTAGTCTGCTGTGTGTAGCCCCAGTCAATGTTTACCTGAAATAAAGACCGGTGGTCTCTGCCAGCTCCTCAGCCACTGCGCAGTAGATGGACGTCTGAGCCCCTTGCACTGGCGTCTTCGTCATGAACCTGCCAAGGGGCGTAGACATGACCCAAGCCATGATCCGCCAGCGGAAGGTCACACCATCCATCATGTACTGGATGAGATTTGTATATACATTACCAGGATGCAGGACATAAGTAGTCACTCCAGTCCCTAATCAAAGATTTCAATAACATACCATTATTGCACATGACTCTTATGAGAACAAATACATATAGTCATGTTTTGGTATCTGGTAGCACCCTTGACTTAGGCCTGACAGTCTGACTAGGTTGCAAGCTTGAAGTTCAAAAGATTGATGGCAAGATCAAGCCTAAAGGGCAACTAGAAAGTTACCGCAATTGATTATTTTCGGGGAGTGGACTCGAGTGGACTGTATAATACTTGGTAGCTTTTATATGTCGATGTAAATGAAGTTCCAACACCTTACCTTTGAGACGTTTGCCCAGCTCTCTTGTGAAGAGCACATTGGCAAGCTTGCTCTGGCCGTAGGCTGCCATGGGGTCATAGTTGGCCCTCATGTTGATGTCGTCCCACCACATCTTACCAAATAATTCATGGCCAATTGACGAGACGTTGACGATGCGGGCTGGGGCTGAAGACTTGATGAGATCCAACAGGAGGTTAGTCAAAAGGAAGTGGCCCAGATGGTTGACACCAAACTGCATCTCAAACCCGTCTTCTGTCTTCCATTCGGGACACATCATGATACCTGCAACAAAGTTCCCATAGAAACTTTCAGTAAACTTTTACGGCTCCGTATAACAGGATCCCAGAAAATGAGTCTGCGGGTCACAATCGATGTTTGTGTGTGTGTGTTAATTTAAATAATTTACAAAGGCCTACAACCGGCAAAAAAGTTAAAAGGACCATGAAATGAATTTCTCTGAGGATTTTTATGACTGAAATACATTTAAAACAGCTTTCTTGCCATATAACTATGACGTTCCACCTCCTTTGTAGCAGTAAAGGGGAGAAAATTAACATTTTAGTTTTTATGCTAATGAAATGTCCATATTCATGAGCCAAAGCGTGATGTCATTCAACGTAGAACAGTGGTGTCTCCATAGCTTTGTGTACAACTATACATGTATATCAAACTTGTCTTCATTTTTGGAAGTAAGTTCCACTTCTTACTTGTTTATCATGTTAAACAGCTTGTTTGGACATTAGCAGTGGCCAGTACTTTTTCAAAACATTCTTTTGTGGGTAATTTTGAAGGGCTAATTTTGGTACCGTTCATATACACTTTTGACAAGGAGTGCCTTGTGTGACACAAGCCAAATAGCGCCCTCTTGCGTGTACTGATGAAAGGATTTGCTAATAATTTTAAAAAAATGTCATTTTCTTGTCACTGCCAATGAAAACAAGTATTACGATCTTGTATGTATTGTTGCAACACATAGTAACGTGCATGAACAAAAGATGAGCTGAATTTCCACTGCATGTTTCCTAAATCCCAAGCAGTTGACGAGAAATATTACCATTAGGTTTGGGACCCATCCTCCAAACAATGAGAAATCTCCGATATACACGAGCATGAGTACACAGGCTTCTTTCCCCCTGCACTATTGGGCTCAGTATATATTGCCCGAATTTGACAAAAATCGATGGTCTGTGGAAGTTTGAAAATCGGAATAATTTCTCTAAAATACAAACCAGAAAAGGTGGGCGTCAACAATATACCTTCTCAACAATATATTATCATCTCTCTATTCACTCGTGACGACCCCACTTCCCTGTCGTGCACTGCCGGATTGAACACTATAGATATAGACGGCTATAGATTATCATAGGGAGAGAATTTATCAATATTTACATCTATATATTGTTTCTCGGAATAGTGTGTATACAACTTATCCGGATAGTTTGTACAGCTATTCGAACATATTAGCAATAGGCTTTGACTACCCTCCAGACAATGCTGTTTGTCTTAAGCCCCTTCTTCTGTTTGTTTGTTTATTTTTTGGAGGAATCACGTCGAAATAAACATGAATTCAGAATTTGTATGTACATGTACAGGCAAATTTCGAGCTTGCTGCCGGTCATGAAAGGTGGTACAAGGAGAAAACAAAAACCAATACAAATTGTATTAATCAACTGAGGATACCGGTCCGGGACTTAACATTTCGGCCCAGCTATGAACTTTCTCAAATTTCTAAGCGGCTTCGTTCCCCTTCACAAGGACTACATTGTGGTAAGCATTTTGTTGGAGGCCCCCTTAAACGTGGGAGGCCCCTGGCCTTCGATCTATTAAAGGCATCATTGCAAAGCTCCGTTAGATGAGTTGAAGGATTATGATTCTCAATTTCATTTTTGAAAACTGTACTCCCTACCAACATATTCAAATGACAAACTCACCCGCATTGTTGATGAGAATGTTAAGCCTGGGCTCCTCTGCTTTGATCTTCTTTGCACATTCTCTCACCGAGGCCAGGGAAGCCAAGTCTAGTTTGACCACTACCAGATTGTCGCTGCCGGTGTCTTTGCGGATGTCAGCCACGGCTTCTTCAGCCTTGGCAATATCACGACACGCCACTATCACTCTAGCCCCTACAGCATTCAAACAAACATCCATGTAAACAGTTAGCTTTTCTATTCCCATATACATATAGCTACTTCAATACTTTTTTTAAGTTGAACAAAGAAATTTGATGGACCGGGGTTTGAGTCTGCAACCTCCGGATGTCCGTTCCCGTGCCCAATCAACGGTCTAGTCTATCCAGCCTGCAGCCCTCTAGTTGAAGCATTAATGGAACGAATCGCGATGAATTGCACCACCAAGAGTTTACCTGCTCGAAGTGCATATAGGGGAAAGTCAAGTTGGTATGTGAAAACTGAGTTTTATCGCGGCTTCCAAATGAGCGTATGAACAAACAAACAAACAAACAAACAAACACCCCAACAAACAAACAAACAAACAAACAAACAAACAAACACACAAACAAACAAACAAACAAACAAACAAACAAACAAACAAACAAACAAACAAACAAACAAACAAACACCCCAACAACCCCAACAAACAAACAAAATCCAAAAAGAGAGAATAACGATCTTTGACACTATTGAACAAAAGGTTGGGCTCACTGTTGCGGGTATTTGCCGACAACCACGTGGGGAAACACCCAACGCAACTGGTGGTGCTGCAGGATAGCATGTATGCAGGTTGTAGGGACTGGATGTATTAAAAGCAATATCTTCGAGGTATCCGCTAGGTGGCGAGCGTCAATGAATTCACTTCAATAAGGGTCTTATCAGTATGCCTATATTACGGCCCTCTGTTCCCTTCAGGGGCAGAAACAATAAGAAGGGGACGACATCATACCTCTCCTGGCGAGATCTCTTGCTGTCTCCTTGCCTAAACCGGTGTTTGCCCCGGTGATGAGAACCGTTTTACCGTCAAGACGAGCCTTGCTGTAGCACCATCCTCCCTCAAAGAACTTCCGCAGCATCCATAACAGCCCTGCAGATACTGTATGACAGAACCATCAATAGAGTATACCTTGTTTAAGCCTAAATGTGTACATGAGTCTTTAATACAGACTTTCCCGTCAAGATTAGAAACAAACCAAACTCATGGGAAAATGAGCGAATATATAAATGGAACACTTTGTTGTCTTTAATATCAATGCGGGTTATTTGCGAAAAGAATGAAGCTTTCAATGTCGATAAAACGCACATCTTCACATTAGACCTATTCAGTGTTGTGAAGTGCCAAACATTTGTTTCTCGACGAGCTAGTTTTATAATAACAATACTTATGAAACGTGTGTTTGGGGGGTATGAATAACGAAAACAGGATACTAACGGCCTGAATTGTTCACTCTGTGTACTCTACAGATTTGTCGAAAGCACACATTGGGCAGGTGTGTAAGTGTAACAATTAAAAGTGTAAAGTGAAAATGCTCAATCCGTTAAAAGAATATCACCATTTAAACAGCTTTTTCGTCTAAAAATGCAATTTCAAGAATCGTCGTCACAAAAATTGTCTTCAAGTATCACCAGCGATAAACCTAAGTTTAAAGGTTAAAATATCCAACACAGTCCTTTGGAAGGTCCGTCTTTTAAAAAAAAGTGGATTTTTATAAATCATATTGTTTGCTTAACAAGGGTTGTTATTATAGATATTGTATACTATACAGTTGTTGACAGTGTTGAAACAAGTATTGCGTCATTTCCTTTGTTGTTCAAAATGTAAGAATACACTATAAACTGCTTTTTGACGAAACAGGTTTTAGGGTTATTGCGTTTAAATGGACAGGTGATATTCTTGGAATGGATTGAGCAATTTCAATTTCAATTTTTCATCTAACAGTAGCTTATGAACTCGATACTGTCAAGCGACACGTCATTTTGCCAGTATTATAGGTACTTACATAATTGTTTTCAGTAAATTTACGCCAGTGTAGGATATATTGCATTGCTAATATATTTGAGGGGAAAACGACCTAAACTAAACGACAAACGTGAGCCGACACGTACGTTTGTTTCTGGTGTAAATCAAAGATTTTAGTTTGTTCCTCTTCCCTTTTCTTTTGAACTGTAACTTTTTTGCAACAGCTCTCATTGGTTTTTCCAACCGATGAGTTCTCGATTCGGTTTCGGTCCTTGATTTATGGATGGTGTTGCACGTGTGTCCTCGATTTATAAACACGCGCAGATCTTTTGATTTTCTGAGCTAAAGCACGGTACGCTGATCCACTGGGTAGCCTTACAATCACGTGTGTCGGGTGTTTCAACTCTTGAGCGTGGCGTTGTTTAATATTAATGTCATTGTTTGACGTTTGATAGGCTCTTTAACTGGAGTGTTTTAGAGTGTATGACTACATGTTTAATGTCATACCCAATACCCCTTCATCCTTCAAGACAGCACGCGTACGCGCACACGCACACCCACACAAACACGCACACAAACATTGACGAGACAGATTATTCATATAGCGGAGATGTTCCGCGAAATCAGTGCAGTCATATGCACTGTCGTTTGTAGTTGTATTTGCCAAGCATGCATCGAATCTGCAAATCTGAAGTGCAGTCACCCCAAACCTCTGATCAAGCTTGTTAACGCCTGCTCTCTCGCTTAAGTGTATATTTAGAATAATGGGTAGAACAAGTGCACAAGCTGAAATGATAAATTTAGGTTTTTGTGTTACAAAAAAAAGATGCAGGCAAACCACCAGCTTTCAGTGCCCGTGAAAGCGACAAATATATCCCCATTGTTGACCTGCACTATATTTAGATGTCTGGAGTCAGTCGACCATGAAATACCGCTCTCGGGCCATAATAGCCCAGCAGTGTATGCAGTGTATCATGGTAGGACGCACGTACAGTAAACCGTATAGTACATTCTGCATGATGATCATGACACGCTATGGTAATCCCGGGACATACCGTTATTTCGTTTTACCGTTTTGGATTTTCTCAAAAGCAAAAACAGTAAACGAGCCATTGACCGTTTTGTCGTTTTACAGTTTTGTAAAACGGTCAAACGGTATTAAGTCACCAAAAACGATTACCTTTTTATTGTTTTTGTAAATTGTAAAAAGCAATAAACGGTTAGTTACTTTATTTTTAGAGTGTTGTTTTACAAAAACATGACAATGTCAAAACGGTCAATAGTCTTGTCGATCATTTTTTTATTCAGGTTTAAGTTGGCAATTATAGCAATGCGGCACCTTGGTATATTAATGTGTTCTTGGGATCTAGTCCCTACCTGTGAAATTGCCCTCCTTACATTTATGTCGTTCTAGTTCTCACGACATAATTTGAGAATATTGGCTATTAAAGAGCCGCACTGGCCACTCCAATTTCCTTCAACATATCTGCAACTTCTTTGTACGTCTTACCACCCTGCATCTATTCTGAAATTTCCTCCATGAAATTTTCCAGCGCCATTTTTGTTTGCAACTCTTCAAGCCCCACCAACTGAATCGCAGTAGATGGGGGTCAAGGTCACACCTGGAATCACACCACGCATTAATTATGCCGAGGTAACACTTCTTCGTGCACGGCATGGTCCCCTCAACCCTCCTCCCCCTTGCCCACCGCCACAAAATGCACCACGGACTGTTAACTATGACACTGGAGTAAAAAACAGTCTGTATTCAATGCTGACCGTTTTGCTGTTTATCAAACTTATTTGTGTAAAACTGTAAAACGAAAATCATTGATCGTTATGCTGTAATGCATTTTACTAAACTGATAAAACGGAATAACCGTATTTATCTTAATACCGTTTGCCGTTTTACAAAACTGTAAAACGACAAAACGGTCATCGGTTCGTTTACTGTTTTTGTTTTTAAGGAAATCCAAAACTGTAAAACGAAATATATTACGCTTATATAGTAGTACATCGAATATATCACTTACCGACAACGAAAGACACAACAAGCAAAAGGTCCATACTTGTTTTTAAACTCTTCTAAATGATGAGAAGCTTCATAAGCACTGCAGTTGCACGTTTACTTGTCTGAATGATTCAGCAGAATTTCCTAGATGACCCTTGCTCTGTTTACATAGGCGTGCCGTGTAGCGCGAACTATTGAAATAGTACGTTGCCACTATCACTATGCACACACACACTAGTCTTGGTTCCAAACGTAGACACTTTATACATAGAAGGAGGCCACATAAGGCAAAAAAAAAGCTCCGGTTTTTGGTATATATGCGCTCGTCGCCGTAGCCATGCGCGTCGGCAAATTAAACAAGTTTGTTTTTCAATGTAAGTCTCAAAACTGCCAAACTCACTGGTTTGACTGGAATCCTGCTGCTGCAAAATTTTATAACGTGTTTTTGCTAAGTTATGATTGAGTATAATCTTTATGTGGCCTTTCTGGGCTCCCAAATATTTTGCACAGAATAGTCAGGCACGTACCATTTGCAGACGGTGTTGTGTGTTTTTGTTATTGTGTGTATGGAAGCCAGACGTGTGTGTGGAAGTCATGGTCTTGTATCTGGAACTTGCTAACACTTTTTAATCAGCGCAGTATATAAGGGAGCAGACTAATGACCAGCCTGGCAAAAATACGCAGCCTGGCCGGCAGCACAGATACATAATGTCGGTTGTCGCTGTATGGTTAGCCTTTAGTCAAGTCCCACGCGCTTATATCCAGACACGTGGCGCACCCCGGATGCTGGCATGTAAAAAGACTATAGCACGAGCGGCGAGCGTAATTTTTATTCCTAGGAGGGTTCAATTCAATTTCAATTCAATTCAATTTATTATACTCGTCACGTAAAAAACATGAAAATTGATTTCCAGTGTGCATTATACATGTACAATAAGACCATAGATATATACGAATGCAAAATAAATAAAATTTGATGTAAAAAACAAAAGGTACTATAAAATATTAACACAATATGACAATATGACAGAGATTATAATTACAGACTATCAAAAATTACAAGGTTGTCATCCAACAAATAAAAACACCAGATTGTTATAACAAGGAACCTAGTAAGAGACACAATTAAAAAGAGCTCTTTACAATAAAAACACGTCAGTGGATGCCAGCATACCAGGAAAAAAAGGACAAGACAAAAAAACAGGGGATTATCTTTTGAATTGAGTGTTGAATAGATGGCATGCATTAGGCAAGAATGACATTCTGAAGCGCTTAGTGCGGGTTCGTGGAGGGCGAATTCTTCCTGATTTGTTGACAACCACCGAAGAATGGAGCGGATGGGAAGGATCTTGCATTATGTCATGTAGCTTAGAGATAATTGCAGATTCAAACATACAATGTAAATCCCTAACGTCCAGGCCAATTGTTTTGGAGGCCAATTTGGTGACACGTTCCAGTCTGTGTCTGTCCATGGCTCTTAGGTTACCGTACCAGGAAATCATACAGAAGGTGATGATAGATTGGATAACGCTTTGATAAAAAAGAAATAAAATGTCTTTGCAAACACTGAATGATTTCAGCTTCCGGACAAAAAACATCCTCTGGTTAGCCTTAGCCACAAGTTTCTGAGAATTGATCTTCCAATTCAAGTTGTTGTCAATGGAGGTACCAAGATACTTAATATTATCGACCATTTCAACCCTAGTGTCATTAATATAAATAGGTTCAATACCAGTCTTCGATTTACGAAAGTCAAACACAATTTCTTTAGTTTTGGACACATTCAGTGTTAAATAATTAAGATCACACCATTTAACAAAATTAGCTACCTCTTTGCGATAAACAGATTCATCATTCATAGAAATCAATCCCGTCAGAGAGGTGTCATCAGCATATTTAATTATAGGGCATGATGTATCACCGGTTCTGTAGTCACTGGAATAAAGTGAAAATAACACTGGGGACAACACACAGCCTTGAGGGGCTCCAGTACTAATATGGATGTAATTAGAAACTGAGTTCATAAATAAAACCCTTTGAATTCGATCAGTTAAAAAACTGTTAATCCACAAACAGATATGGGGATTGACACACATTCTATCCATTTTTCCAGTCAATAAATGAGGCTGAATTGTATTAAAAGCCGATGAGAAGTCTACAAACAAAGTTCTGACATGGTTGTGAGTTTTATCCAAATGTTCATAAATATAATGCACAAGTGTTAAAATGGCATCATTCACACTTCTGCCCGAACGATAGGCAAACTGGGCAGGGTCAGTGTAAGCCTTTGTCTGAACCAAGATAAGATCCTTAATTACACTTTCAAAACATTTCATAACTGACGATGTGAGAGCAATAGGTCTAAAGTCATTCATAGCTGTGGGTTTGGGTATTTTTGGAATCGGTATGACAGTTGAGGTTTTCCAAATTTTGGGAATTATGTTAGAGTCCAGAGACCACTGAAACAGTCTATGAAATACATAAGACAGCTCTTTATGACAGGACCTCAGGATTCTCCCAGAAACACCATCAGGACCTGATGCCTTGTTGCCCTTGATACGCTTGAAGGATTTCTCAATCGCAGGAACGCTGAGCTCAATCCTATTGGAGTCGTCTACTTGGCTCCGCAGATCGTCGCAAAGCTGGTTGTTGACTAGACTGAAGTCAGAGTCATCAAAACGGGTGTAGAACTGATTAAGATCATTGGCGAAGGTGTCAGGGTCGCAGGTTGGAATGTAGGAGTTAGTTTTCTTACCAATTCCTGTGATGGACTTTAGTCCAGCCCAAGCTTTTTTTGAATCGTGCTGTCTGAAATTGTCCTCGATGGTTTTTCCATATTTCTTCTTGCTTTGACGAATATGTTTGGTTATCTCCCTCTGCACTCTCCGCTTTTCAGTAAGATCTCCATCACAGAAAGCTTTGTGTTTCCTTTCCAGAAGGCAACGGATTTCTCTGGTTATCCACGGTTTGTTATTCGGAAAAAATTTGTGTTCCACCTCAGGAATAACCAAGTTTTCACAAAACTTGATGTAGTCTCCCACCGCTTCTGTGGCTTCATCAATGGAGTTTTGGCCGAAAAAGACATCCCAGTCTGTGCATTCAAAACATCCTCGGAGGGTTTCAATATTTTCGTTTGTCCACTTCCTGGTTCTTGTGATAATAGGTTTATGTTGTTTCAGCTTTTGTTTATATTCAGGAAGAAGATGAATAATGTTGTGATCAGAGAGGCCGAGACCTGCTTTTCCATGTGTCTTGTAGGCCTTTCCGATGTTGCCATAACATTTATCTAGAATCTTGTCTTTCCTGGTGGGAACCGTAACATACTGGTCATAGTGAGGAAGTGTATGCTCAAGTTCACAGTGATTAAAGTCACCTAAAACAAGCTTCACCGCATCGGGAGCCCGAGTTTCAAGATTATTTATCAGTTCGGCAATTTTTGATGAGGCAATGTCGGCATCTGCAGAAGGGCTAATATATACAGTTGTTACAAAAATTTGGTTAAATTCTCGGGGTAGGTAGTGGGGTCTCAAACCAACCGTGAGCAGTTCAATGTCGGGTGAGCATAAGCGTTCCACAACACTTACGTTGGTGCACCAGCGCTTGTTAACATATACACATACGCCACCTCCAGTAGATTTGCCAGACTCTGCGGTCCTGTCCAATCGTTCACATGAAAAGCCTTCAATGCTCGTGTCAAAAGTGGTGTCAGTGTGATTGAACCAGGTCTCGCTAAAACACATTAAGCTACTGTCTCTGAATTCATAGCGGTAGTTTGTACACGCTTTCAGCTCATCAAGTTTATTTCTAAGGCTTTGAGTGTTACCTAAAATTATTGAAGGTAGAGGAGGATTGTACTTCCGCCGACGAAGTCGCACTCTGATGCCTCCTTTCTTGCCTCTTTTACGTTGGGTCGAGCGGGCCTCAGGTGGAATGTCCGTCTCCAGACTAGGTGTGGCTGTGACCGTTGACCTCAGTTTTAACAATGTCTCCCGTGTATACACAATGGGCAATGGCCGTTCATAAACTGTACTCGCAGGGAGCTCAGCTAGTTGAGTAGAAGCATGACGAATTCCACCGATTAACAGTGCAGAGAATAAAAACTGGCGCACCAACATGTTCCTTGAGGTTAGTATAACACCTCACACACATCAAAAAGGGTAAAAACTTACGAAACACGGGTTAAAAACGTGACGAAAAGACTAAAAAGACGAGACAGAAAATGCACACGGGTGGTCGCCACAGAGCAGCGCCCTCAAAAAAAAAAATAGCACGAGCGGCGAGCGTAATTTTTATTCCTAGGAGGGTTAGGGGCAATGTCATGAATAATTCATGTTTATCCATGAGAACGGACAATGACATCAACAGCATTGTTGTTAGTTACTCAACTAGTTACAATACATTAAAGCATTTTAAAGAACGGTTGTCGTCGAGCTACCACGCAGTAGCCTAGTGGATAGCGAGATGAGCTATGGATACAAAGATCCCTGGTTCGAATCCACGTCGTCGCTGCTCATTTTCATCAGCTAATTTTTTTCTTCTCCAAATTTATCACTGAGATAATTTTAAATTAAGGGGAAAATAGAACGAGAACCTAAGTCTTGCAATGATTCAAAGGAAAAACTGAATTATTCATGACATGCCCCTAACCCTCCTAGGAAAAAAAAATACGCGAGCGGCGAGGCCTAGTCTGGTTCCCAGACCAAAAGATTCTGACTATTCCTGATGAATTTAGGTCCGGTAGCCTTAGCTAATAGACCTTTCTGCGCTTGGTTGGCAAACTGCACTTTTGCCAACCACGGCCTGCAAAACTATGGAAGGTCCAACACTGCAAAAATGAAGAAGTGGTTTTACAGATCACCAAAATATTATTTGATACTTCAAAATACAACGTTTTCAACAAAGCTACAAAATAATTCCTTAATATGCCTTTTTACTATGTGTTGATGAGGACTTTTTAAGAAAAATTTGTTGCCAACCACGGCTTCAATTAATGCGCTTACGGCAGCCCATACAAAATGGCGCCAATGTTTACAAACAAAAGAAAGGTACATACATTGAATTACAATTTACGTCACGTGACTAAAACGGTAGGAATTCCTCCTTTTTGCTCAGAACATTTATAAAAGCTAAAAGTGATAAAGCGAAATCGGAAACGAAGCCGAGCTTTGAAAAATGGCCATCAATGCCGTCATGTTTATTTTTAGCCACAGAGGCTGCCTGACCAAAGATTCATCACGAATGGTCAGAATCTTTTGGTCTTGGAACCAGACTTCGGCGAGGCCTCGCCGCTCGACTGCTCTTTTTGCGTGCCAGAATCTGAGGTGCCACCATAGAGCTACGCATCCGGGTAGACCCGGGCGCCTTGATTAATGATATGACGTTACGGTTTCCTTTGATTTTTGTCCTGACTATCCAAATTTCCCGAAGGATATCCGTGTCGATCGAGATCGTTAGTGGGTGTAGGATTCTCAAGCTTTATGTCCTTACTGAGGTCACCTCAAGCTCAACCCTGAAGGATAATGTTGAGAGTTTTAAGGGGATCGAAGCGTCATCATCTGCAACATCAGCCGAGATTTGAAGAGAAAAAAGTGAGGGGAAAAAAAAAACGCTTTGCCGCACGCGAATTTCTTTTGCGAAGGTGAATCGATCCAAAGTAATGAATGATTAAATATTTTCGAGATGGCGAGTATGATTATTCATGAAACAGAACAATGACATCAAGAGCATAGTTGTTATTTAGTCAACCAGTCACATTTAAAGCATTTTTATACGAACGTCGTCGAGCTACCACAGTAGTGGACAGCATGATGAGCTATGGATACAAATATACCTGGTTCGAATCCACCTCATCACTACTCATTTTCATGGACTTTTGTTCTTCTCTGAATTTATTGTTGAGATAAAGTTATTTTAAGGGAAAAAAGAGAACGAGAAATGAAGTGTCTTGCAACGATTCAAAGGAAAACTGAATTATGTATGACATTTGATTACCCCACCTGCGGAAAATAAATTCGCGCGCCGCACGACTTTTGGGGGCAAGCTCCATACCAGAAATCGAAGACTTGTTTGGCTTAGTAGACAAGCTGTTTCGAATTTAGTCAAGATTGGAAATATTAATTACTTGCAACCCGACAATGATTTAGTTCTCGCAGTGTATACTTGTTTCCGTTCCCATCAGATCGGGAACCGGAAAACGTCTACTGGAAATGCGGATCTCTTTTTGCGAAAAGGAAACTCAAAAGAAGTGGCTCAATTCAGAGGGTTGTGGATGCCAAACCTGGAAATGTAAGGTTTTCTTGGTTAAAATAAAGGGAATTATACGGGATTGCTCTGAACATGTTTATTATATTTGCTGTGGCTGTGGCCTGGCGCTTGCTTGCCAAAAAACGAATAATATACAGTTAAAGCCGGTTTACACTTGACGCAAATGTTCTTTTTCCGCACACTATTTCGGAGCTTCACTCTGAAAAGCAATATGATAGTATACTCACTTCATTTGAAATGAAAGAAATTGCACTCATGGCTAGTTATTATATTAAAACATTTGAATCATTTGCGGCCTTACAATAATTCCCCTTTCGCAGGGCGGGTTCATTTGTGCGCATGCGCCTGCACTGCAACAACTGCATGAATTATGCATCCTCCAATCTTGCAATTATTGAGTAAAAAAGACCGTATAGTGCATGTACATGTAACATGCATGTATTACGACAGCGGAACGTTACTAGGTAGGGTACTATAATGCATCGTTGCAATGACATCAGGTTTAATGGAAAACTACTTTACAGATTTGTATTCGATTATCACCTTTACAGATTTGTATTTGTATCACCAAATATCGAGTCGCTAGTCAAGCAGGTCGAGTCCAAGAACGAGTCACGGGTCAATGGTCGAGTCCCAGTCCGAGTCTCGAGTCACTTTTAATACAGTTTTTTTGGAAATACATTTTGAGGTACAACGTACTGCTAAACCTCACAGTGTAACTGTTTCCATTTTTTCACAGCTCTTCTTTAATATAATGAATTTAAAAAAGACGTGTGTAACATGTCAAATAAGGCAAGAAACATGTGTCTGAAAAGGATAATCTGGTACCAAACAATATCAAGCTTGCATTTACGCAATATCAAGTGTGGATGCTGGTGTAAATGTCTCGATAAATTGATTTTCCAAATCAATATATCGGAAACAAGCCAGCCGCACACGCTGTGTGTATGTATAGTACTAAAATGTGTTTCTACTACAAAACACAGACTGTATCGCTTCTCAGGCTTGTTTGATCGTCTTCAAAATATTTTGAAATATATTGTTGGGAAAAAAGCGATTTGTGGTAATTTTCAGTTGCTCGAGTCCCGAGTCACGCAGGTATAGAGTCCGAATCCAAGTCTTATTCTGCAGGGTCGAGTCCGACTCTGAGTCCGAGTCCGAGTCCGAGTCATCGTGACTCCAGTCCGAGTCCGAGTCACGAAAAATGAGACTCGAGTCCGAGTCCAAATCACGATTTATACAAGTCTGGTGTCTAGTATAGGTTTTCCCGGCTATTTTAACACTTGTATCACACGAATTCCCTATATCGATACTTTAATTTCGTCCCCGAACATCGCCAAGCTCAATTCTCAATTTGAATTTCAAAAAGCCACCACTAGATTTCATTTAAGGTGCAGTATTATTCAAATTGTTAGCATTCCGATTCGTCCAAAATCTTTGAAATTCGTCTCGTGAAGCAATCGGTGTTGAATTGAAAAAGCAAATTCGTTTTTTGTCATTCGTTTTAATGTTCTTGTCGTTACATTTCGTCTCTGGTGACATAAAACGTTACGATTCAAAATGTGCCAAATCTTTGGGCTTGTTTGCGCATTAATTAAATTTTAATTTTTAACAGATATTTCCTGTATAGCTGTAAGTTTTGAGTTTTCTTTGAAAATTAACATTAAAATCAGAAATTAAACTTACACAATATGCTCTTTGCTTAGTATATTGAAATTAAGCATTAAGATCAAACACCTTCGTAATGTTGCTCTTTGATATATGTATATTAATAAAACAACAGAAATAAGGTATGTCTATCAAAGAACAACATTAAGAAGGTCTTTGAACTTAATGCTTAGTGTCCATGTCATTAGTGCATATTGTGAAATGTCAATTCCTGACTCTAATGTTAATTGTGAAACACAGAAATAAAAATTCATACCTTACAGCTAACTACTTTTATTTATACATATAAGAAAATATATGTTGAATTATCATTGTTTTAATACGCATAATTCTTCAAATAAGTCTAAAGATAGGGCGCATTTTCTAATCGTATACGATTTAAGTCACTAGGGACGAAATGTAGGCTAATGACAACAACATGAAAACGAATGACAAAAAAAGAATTTGCTTGGTCAATTCAACGCCGATTGCTTCACGAGACGAATTTCAAAGATTTTGGACGAATCGGAATGCTAACAATTTGAATTATACTGAACCTTAAATGAAATCTAGTTGTGGCTTTTTGAAATTCAAATTGAGAATTGAGCTTGGCGATGTTCGGGGACGAAATAAAAGTATCGATATAGGGAATTCGTGTGATACAAGTGTTAAAATAACCGGGAAAACCTATAATACCTTATTCATTTTATCATACAGCCAAATATTTCAATTATTGTGCTGGCATTTCAATTATATTTTTTGTTGATGAGCTCATGTATAGCGCTCAGGGTATGCATGGTAGCTGTCTCCATGGAACAAGACTATAGGTGTCCCACCGATGGTGACCTGTTTGAACGAAAGATCGACTAATGGTCAAACAGCGTGGACTATAGGTTTCATCAACATAATCAAAAAAACAATGAACAATTTCCATTTAATAGCGACCACATTGGTTGGGCTAGAATGTGTAATATTATATATATGTATATATGAATTTCTTGCATTTTCCTCTTCTTTTTGCCCCTGAAGACCCTAACCTTAAAACTCCTCGTAAACCTTATTTTTTTTCGAAGGGGGCGGGGGGGGGGAACCTTGTGTGCCGGACCTTGGCAAGTCCACAAAACGTCTACATTATTTGCACTCTGTGAACCTGTTTTGCTCACGGGTCCACATAGTGACTACAAAACCAGTGCAATTGAACTGAAGAAGATTGTCACTATGAGAACGTCTGAATATTTTGGTCTGAAACGAAAACCAGGATCGTTTATTTTCTTCTCAATTAGAAATGATATATCTGTTCATGCGGGATTGTTTCAAAACCAACGGCAGTTTACGTGATTGTCATCAGTATATACGCTTAGCTAGATAGATAATCTTATGTAATGTTTAAATTCCCACAAAGGAGCCCATCACGAATGCTGTAACATATGTATTTTTTTTGCATATATGAGGGTATTGAACATAAAATGTGGAGGTCAATTGAAACGGCTTATTTGCATATTAAGTGTCTTGCCATATTGCTGTGATGAATAAAAGATGGGTGGCAATTTTTTTAGGAGTTGGTTAGAACGGGAGAAGATTTAAATCACCCTGTCTGCTTTATCACATTATTATGTTTAACATAAACGGAGGGCAACTTGTATATTTTTAATTACTGGCATGTACTATGAAGGCCTTAAATACACCATGTGGCGATCATTAAAATGGCTTATTTACAATTTAAGCGTCTTGCTGTTATTAATGTATGTAATGAATTAATAAAAGAACGAAGGCAGTTTTTACTAGGGGTTGGTTGTCAACAACAGCAAAGAAAGATTTCAAATCACCCTGTACGCACTACATGTACTCTGCCATTCTGCGTGTAAGACACGAATATATAGTTCATCGAATAGCAAGAGTCAGCGTGATTCGTATTTTAAGAATCCCACAAACCTGAACCAAGGCTGGACTTCGTTGCTGTGGCAATAGGCAGATTGCTGAAAACCAAGTAAGTTAAACAGATTATTTGTAAGACTACACAGAGCGCCTGTTCCATTATTTTTATATTTAATCTTGGACTCAGCAAAATCATGTAAAAAACCAGTCTCTGAAACGACTTCTAAATCTGGTTTAAGGATTAAAGATCTGCGCTATGAACGTTACTTCGATCGACTCAATGAATAAGCGAACAATCAATGTCCTACAACATGATATGAAAATCTGACCTACATGCTGTCAAACGAGCTAGCTAACTGTGATCATATATATTCTGAATTTATTGCGTGATTATATATATTTAAACTTAATCAAACGGATGCGTTTTGATTAATTGAAAATTGGCCAAAAGTATAACATCGACGGACGATGTTAAATGTGCATTGAAATTAGCTTGACACGTAACCCATTATTGCCAGCTAAGGCAACAACTCCAATGTTGATTATTTTAAGATTGTTTCATGTGGTAGACAAAAGCATTGAAATATGAGGTCAATTTACATCTGGATGTTCATTGCTATTTGCCAACAAAGCGGTGCCATAATCCACCATGGTTTTACAAAGTGACAAAAACCTAGAAAATCGATAGTTTTTCGATTTTAAGTTTTGCTGCCTAATTTATTGAATGAGACAAAAAGAAAAGCCGAAACTCCGTGTTTTTCTGTTTTCACGAAGTGACGAAAACTGTTAAGAGTGCATACAAGTATTTTTTCGTAGCGTTTTTCACTGCGACATATGCGCGAAAAAAAACCGCAATCGTAACGGCCGCTGGCGCTGGCACGACCTTAAAAAAGTGGCACTTCTTAAAAAATGGGCAATCTATACAAATATTGGAGGGGGGAGTAAACGCTCGTAACAACTTCATTTGAATAGAACGGGCAGTCTTTACAAAACAAACTTGGGGGGGGGGGATACCCCCTTCTACACTGCTGGCTACGCCTATTCATTCATCTAACTATCTCTGTTGTGTGTCGTTGTGTCTGTCTGTCTGCACTTTGATTATGTCCAGAACTGGGCACTGTATAGAAAATCGGAGAGTGTATTGGTCAGGACCTTGAAATATGCAGTGTCAATTTTAACGTTGTTTGGATGAGCGGTTCTTGAAAAAAAGCTGCAAAAAGGCGGCAAATTAGCCCCATTTGTCTCATAAAAGAGTTGGCTTGAGCAGATAACATCTATTTTGCAGTGGAATGCGGCACAATAATATTCTACTAGGGTATACTTCACAAATCAACTCGATTGGCCACTTGAAAATCCAAGCTGGCGGCCATTTTTTTCAATATGGCCGACAAAATGACCCGCTAAGAAATTTTTTTTCATAAAACTGCTTCTATTTATTCGATTTGGATGATCCTTGTATCAACATCTATGTTTTCAGGCATGCTGGATCCATATATGGTAGTTTCAATAGCACCATAACACTCTTAGTGGTGGAAAATTTTAAATGTATTTAAAAAATACCAAAAACACTCAAAATACAGTAAAACACTTTTAATAACAGTTTCAATCAAATAAACACAACTAGCACATAAATGTGGACGGAAACAATAATTGTTCTGATTGGCAAAGAAATTGTCATTCAAATAAACTTGTAACAAGACCCATGTACAATGCAGACAGAATACCCATTATAATGTCATGTGGTCAATTGACATGGTTTTACAACATAATCTTTTCGAATCTGCAAGACATGCACATGCAGTAGGTAATATAATCTCATGAGGTGACTTATTGAATCTTCAATACAATGCTTTGTATAAACACAATCTATACGTGGACGCAACTCGTGAAAGTTTGTACTTAACACACGGTTTAGCAGTCAAACACATCTAGCACATGAGTGAAAGCAATGTTTTTGTACGATATTCATGTCAGGGAAGGCTGTGGACGTGGCTTCACTTATAGGGAGTAGCCCAGATCGTCTTTATCCTGACCAGGAGGAAATCAGTGGCGCAGCACTACCAAATCATTTTTATTGGTTTTTTTTTTTTTAGAAACGGGTACTTGCATAGAAGTGCTGAAACATAGTCTTGTTTTTTCCCCGGACAATTGGCCTCCGTAAAATAAATTGTGCTTTTAACGGCGAAACATGCGCGAAATTAACAACAAAGGCATCCGCAACGGCACCAAAATGGGCACTTGTTAAAAAAAGGGCACTCTTTACAAAATATTGGGGGGGATTAAGCGCTGTTGAAAAAAAGGGCATTCGAATAGAAAAGGGCAGTCTTCATAAACAAATGGTTTTTTTTTTTGGGGGGGGGGGTTAAATCCCCCCCCCCCCCCGTAGCCATGCGCGTCGGCAAAATGAAAACCGTTTTCTTTTTAATGAAAGATGATGTCTCAAAACCGCCAAACTCACTGGATTGACTGGAATCCTGCTGCTGCACAATTTTAACGTGTTTTTAGATTGGGTTATGGTCGAGAATAAGCCTCTCTGGACTCCCATATATTTGCACTAAGTTTAGTCGGGCACCATTTTGCAGTCATCAGCCGACATTTGAAGCAAAAAAATCGGGTAAAAAAAAAAGAAGCCGGCTCGCCGCACCACTTTTTGGGCAAGCTCCATACCAGAAACCGGAGACTTTTTTTTTGCCTTAGTAGTTCGTTTTTTTTATTCGGCGAAGTGCGTGAAAGCGCATGGCACTACGCACATGCGCGCACGGTTGCTGTAATTCGTAGGATCGTTGCACGACATCGCGTAGCTGCATTATTAGGCTCAGCGAGGACGTGTCTCATACGCTAAATTCAGGCCCAATTCAAAACATGATTCAGCAACTTTTGATATGAAATCGGATGGTAGAATGTTGTTTTTCTCGGAATATACAGCTGAAGCTGAGCTGACATTTCATCAAGTTAGTTGTTGGGCACCCTTCTTCAGATTTTTAGTATTTTTTTGCTTCAAACGAACAAAATGTGCACGTTACAAATGATAGACTATATCTTTTAACAGTAATTCATTTTTGTTTGCAGTTCGTGAGAACATCAATACATTGGGTCCCATATTTTCCCATTACCTTTTACACAGTTTTTGTCACGTCGTGGGAAGGGGAACATGAATTGTGGAGGCTTGACTTATTTGTACTTTTGCAGAGGCAACAAACTTGTTACTTGAACGCGTCATACGACAATTTAGCGCGCGAGTCTGTTATTTTTCAACATCGTTCACGCGATCTATGCTCCATAGATATAGAATGAAAAGACTAGATCGGCAGCAACCTCGTCCCCAGTGCTTACCTTATTTCCAACCGCGTTTCCAATAGTAAACCCTGGATAGGAAACTTTCTTCCTGTATCCTGATTGGATACCGCAATTGGCTAGTAATGGAAGTTTATCGTGTACTTGGTGCTATTATTCACAACGTGCAGTACGTGTTTTCGCGATCATTCATCCACGCCTTCTCGAAAATACTAATTTCCTTTCTAATTTGCTCATATTAATATGAAATATGATACTGCATGTTGTCTCGATAAGATCGTAACAGTTTGATTTCAAAAATCGTGTTTTCGTAACTCACGCCGTGCTCGCGCTGCTACGAATAAACTCTGTTTTTACCCCAGACACCGCATACAAAAACAAACGCTAATATGTAACGCATATCCAGGCACCAGACTGTTCCTCATTTGCATACGTGTGCAAAAATCTTGCACATGCAAATGATCCAATACCAGGGTGAGAGAGCAGGTAGTGGTGGGCGCGTACTGCTCGACACCCTGGGGACGAGGTTGAGATCGGCAGTGCTTCCACACGCGCCCATTCACTGTGTGATCTCCGCCATTTTGGTTGTCTCTCGTAGACGCGCAACAAATTCAAGGGGCACTAGGTCTTGATATCCCCGAAAAAAAAACGGGTTAAAAAAAAAAAAAAATCCGCGTCGCCGCACCACTTTTTGGGCAAGCTCCATACAACAAACCGGAGACTTTTTTTTGCCTTATCATCATCTCTTTCAAAGCGCGTTTTGTAGCCCAATTGGGCTGTTCCAGGACCTAGTGTCCCTTTGACGTAAAGTAATGGAGCTAAATGTATCTTTCCTCGCTCAACGTGCGCGAAGCTAGAAATGCGCACCCATAGATATAGAATAAGAATTTATCTATGTGCACACCGAGTATTTATGCGATGCAGACACATAATTATTAGCGATGCACATTGTGCTCTTTGCGCATAAATAGCGTTGCGTCCGTCACGTTTTCGGGCATTATTAATTTTGTATCCTTCCGGATTCCTCCAGCACGCGACCCTCAATGCAAGTCCGCGCCGTGGACGCGCTGCCGAGTAGTCTTTTTTATTCTGTATGTATGATATGCTCCCATCCTGATGCACGTAGACCAATGCCCTGCTCATGAGGTAACCTTTTGCCTACTTCGTGAGGACAATTTACACTTTTTTACACTACATACAAACAAAAAACACGGGTTTTAGCCTTTTTGTAAAATGTTTGTTTACATTTATTAAGAAATTGTTCCTTGAGACAACTATTATAAAAAGGCTGGGGGAAAAATCAAAAATCAAAATTGAACAATTATCGATTGTCGAGGTTTTTGTCACTTCGTGAGCAAAGCGACGATGTGATCCTGCCACGGGATGCTCAGGGCCATACGCATCATCCTAGTGTAACACCCATCCAGGGACTTCTCCATCTTAGCATTGAGGGTCCAGGTCTCAGCTCCGTATAGATCAAGCATTGCCTCTACCGTTGACACAAACAGTGACCTTTTCATTCGATCACTGAGTGCCAATGACCACACCTTTTCCATTATTTTAATTCAAAAATTGCCAGAAAAGTAACTGCTAGTTTTTATACATACAACTCATTATCATGCTTAAATAACTTCCAGTTATGAGAAAAAAAAAGATTCAACAAAGTTTAATGATTTTCATGGAATGCCTTACGATGTGAAGGATAAACCGTAGCATTTTTAAGTGGTATTTTGGGTTTTTGAAGTATTTAAGCCATATGTACAATATTATATTAAATTCATATTGCTGAACTGCTCCTTTAACTTTGAGGAGTGAACCTAAAGTACATTAAATCAACCACTGACTTTGTTTTACATAGAAAAAAGAGATAACTTTATGCATTATGTTAAACCCGTATACAATCGTTACATTTGCTGTACAGGGTGAATAAAAAAATTCAACAAATATATCACGGAATGCCAGATGTAGAATATGTAACCAACATAGATACTACTTTAGGTATAGTTTGAAAGAGACACCTTCCCACTTTAAAATGAGAAATAAAACGTCCAATTTGGGTCGTTTTGACAGAGTTATGAGTAATTTTCCAAGAGAGGTCAAATTAACCATGTGATCAAGTATTACATTTTAGGCATTGGGACAAAGGTAGACTAATTGCTTTTTTTGTGGATATTTGCCTGGTCTACACAAACTGTATTTAGCGAGTAAACACAATTCTAAACACTTTCTTGCTATCACCTCATGCTTAACATGCATTGCATTTAAACAAGTTTGATAAACTGATAGCAACAATTTTGTTAGTTCTGTGCTAACTCGCTAAACACTTCTTTTTGTAGACCCCTTACTGTAAGCGTGTTAGTAAATGTGCTTTCTGCGTCGGAGGGTTAAAAAGAAGTCTCTATAACGGATTTGTCTGCTCTACGTGCGTTACTTCGATCGACTAAATTAATTGGTTAGAACACAATCAATTTATTATTTTTTTAATCTTGTAAAAGTGTTATCTGCGTGAGACTTTGAAGTTAAAATTGAAAGGAAGGCCTACAGCGGCTGGTAATGACTTTTAGATCTTTACTTTGGAAAATGTTCTAAGTTTTTTCTAACTTCTTTCAGATATCGTGTAAGAATGTACATCACATTCGACGCTTAAAGTGAAGATATCGTTCCTGGTAGAAGTGAGATAGCCGAAGAGAAATCCCATCACTGCACAATTTAACTGGTAAGCTGCCTTTTTTGTATCAAATGTATTATGTCTACAAACATAACGGGGAAATCGGATACATCGTTAAAATATGTTTTTGGTTTACTTGACTCCAGGACGTAGTATCAGTACGACCATTTACAGCGTCATGGCGGAAAGTGTGCTAATTGCGACAAAATACTCCATCACCGTTTGCTGTGCAGTAGCCCTAGTCGAGAATCTCCTTGTGATTGCAGTGTTCGCTGGAACTAAAAAGCTCCGCATCAAATACTACGCTTTCGTCTTCAACCTGGCTTTGGCTGACCTCATGTATGCCGTTTTAGGAATAGCCATTCCTTGGATCAGGTTATTTATACTTGATGGTCTTTATGCCACATCGTACACAGTTTCAATATTAACTATATTCTGTGCTGCTATCAATCGTTATCTAGCCCTGTCCATTATGCCACCGGCTCGGTACGATTCACTGGTGACTAAATATCGTCTTATCGGAGTTTGCGTCCTTCTTTGGTGCTTTGCTCTTGCTTATGGTTTATTGACATATTTAGTAGCTTCACCTACATTTGAGGTTTTTGACGCGATAACGAGCCTTGGTTACTCAATGGTGGTGTTTATTGTTTGGGTTATCACCGCGCTTGCGTATTTCTTGGCTTTCCGTAAAATCAAACAGTACACTCCACCTCTTGCATCCACGGCAGGCATCAGTGCCAATATGGAGCGAGACCAAACCCGAGTCCGGCAGACTCGTCGTCTATTAATCCTGTTTGTTCTCATTCTTGTGACGGCATTCTTTTCTTGGATGCCGTATGGCATTCTCTCATTGATTGCCTACTTCAACCCATACCTTTATTACGATAGAACTTACGTGGCATTGTTTTGGGTTGGTACCTTGCTTTACACTCTGTCTACTGTAATCAATCCTTTGCTTTACTGGTGGCGTCTAGATGGTTTCAAAGAGGGTTTTTATGCATTGTTCTGTCGTTGTGTCATTAAGGCGGAACCAAGAGAAACTGAAGTCGAAAGATCTGAGAATGAAAACACAGTGGCAGATACGGGTGTGTAAACGGGTTATAGCCCGATAGACCGAAAGGTTCGATAGTCCGAAGGCTTTTTAGTTCGAAGGGTCATTAGTCCGAAGGCTCGTGAGTTCGAAGGTTCAATAGTCCGAAGGTTAGAAAGTCCGAAGGGCCCATACGTCCGAAAAAAAGAAAAAGGTTAATTAATCCCAAGGTTCAATAATCCGAATATACAAGTTCGATAGTCCGAACTGACAATAAGGTTCGATAGTCCGAATATACGGTGGGGTTTGATGATCCAAAAAAAGAAAAGAAAAAAAAGAATAAGGTTAATTAATCCGAAGGTTTGACAGTCCGAATATACGGTAGGGTTCGACAGTCCGAATTGACAAAAACGTTCGATAGTCCGAATAGTTGATAAGGTCCGATAGTCCGAATATACGGTAGGTTACGATAGTCCGAATTGACAATAAGTTTCGATAGTCCGAATTGAGAATAAGGTTCGATAGTCCGAATATACAGTGGGGTTTGATAGTCCAAAAAAGAATAAGGTTAATTATTCCGAAGGTTCGATAGTCCGAATATAGCGTAGGGTTCGATAGTCCGAATTGACAATCAGGTTCGATAGTTCAAATTTAAGATAAGGTCCAACAGTCCGAATATACAGTAGGGTTCGATAGTCCGAATTGACAATAAGGTTCGATAGTCCGAATTGACAACAAGGGCGGATCCAGAACACATTTTTTTTTTGGGGGGGGGCAAAAAAAATTTGGTCCCCCAAAAAGTGGGCAACAAAAATTACGGCGTTGGGTTCGGGGCCCGCTTAAAGGCCCCGAATTTTTTTTGGATTCTAGATGCTCTGTGGTGCGATCTGAGGCAATTTCTGACCACTTTAACCAATGTTTTTTTGAGGAAAAGATGGTGGTGTACTCATTGCCTGCCTATATTGCGATGTCACATAAAAAAAAAAAAAAAAATTGGTTTCGTTTTTTTGGGTGGGGGGCATGGCCCCCTTTGCCCCCCCCCCTGGATCTGCCCTTGATTGGCAATACGGTTCGATAGTCCGAATTACGGTGGGGATCGAACAGTCCGAATTGACAATATGGTTCGATAGTCCGAATTGAGAATAAGGTTCGATAGTCCGAATGGGTAATACGGTTCGTCAGTCTGACTCTTTGGACTATCGGACCTTTCTTTTGATTTGGACTATCGGACCTTAATTATTGCCGATTCGGACTATTAGACCTTATAGTCTATCGGACTATCGAACCTTGTTGTCAATTCGGAATAATAAACCTTCGGACTATTGAATTTTATTTTCCTTTCGGACTATTGAACCTTCGGATTAACCTTATTCTAAATTCGGACTGATGAACCTTCGGACTAATGAACCTTCGGATTGCTGAACCTTTGGACTTTTGCATCAAATGTTCGGATTAATGAACCTTATTTCATTTTCGGACTAACGAGCCCCCTGTTATGGAATTTTGGTGCATTCGAACTGTCAAACCTTGTGACTTAAGAGCATTTGGACTATTGAAACTTTGGAATATCGAGCGGTCCCCGTGTAAACGTAAGAGGGGACAGGCTGTGCGGGATCAACGTTTGGAAATTAGGTTTCGCAATTTGGTGAATTGTATTTTTTGATTTCAGTTTTTTCCAGTAAGAAACACAAACTAAAAATACATCTTGTTTTAAGTGTGGTTAAGGGAGAACTTTTGTGATTATCGAAATACATATGTATTTTGTGATTTAACAAAAATCGCGGTGATTTTGAGTTTTTAAGTAATAACATAAAAAAAAATAATCAGTTGTAAATATTCCTTATTTAGTCTGTGGACTTTTTGAAAAATATAGTAACATATGTTATTAAAATGGAGCATTTGGGGTGACCCACCCTGCAGTATTTGGAATATTGTCGCATATCGTAATTTCTTATCTTAGTTTTGAAGTAGACAATTACAAACACGGTCATTTCTATAAAATTGTGCATGGAGCAATTGTGTTCCTGTAATAAAAATGGTTCCGTTATTAGACCTCATTGTGGCTAAAGGTAATTTTGTGATTATCAAAACATTTCGGGGTTTGTTTAAAATCTAAAGTGATCGGTTGTAAAGTATTGCTTGAGGAGCCTTTTGTAAATTCCATTGTTATATTGTGCCACTCTTTTAAAATAATTTGGTGTTAGAGGAAGGGTATATAAGCCTTGCACTCGAATCTATTTCATGATCTGACTGTGGAAATCAAATTTGAATTGATCGACATAATATAATTGCTTGGGTTTTTTACCGGTTGCTTGGACAGTAATAATATAATACAAGTATACGGTTATGCCGAATCGAAAATATGGAGTTCATTTCGGGAAACGGTTTAAGAGTAAAACAAAAACCTTGTTTTTTTGGTCGTTTGTATCCAAACTAATTTATTTTGAAATAAAACCAACAAGAAAAAGGAAATGCTTGAATCCATATGACCGAAAATGGTTTCTTTTACTGTGAAGCATTCACCGAACAGCATAATAGGAGCAAATGTTTCCAGATGTTGAATTGATTGCATAGACAAATAGTTTTCATTAGCGGAGTCTCTGCACACACGAAACTTACCTAAAACCTTTACCTCAGTCCACAAAATCATACAAATTGTGTTTGACTGCAAAAATCAAAATACTGATAAATACATGTTAACATTAAATAAAACCTCACAAAATAAGACCATTTGATTTCGTAAATTCACTGATCGCGGTAAAATGAGGTTGGATGCCAACATTGAAATCTTATGCAACGAGATATATTGTAATGATTCCCGGATAATTTCTCTTTTCTACTGTTCATATAATACCAGAGAAATATCTTCATAAGATGGAATTTTGCGTCGGGGTGATGTGAATCAAAATTAGGTTTTGCCCTTCACGACGTATAAACATTAGTTTACTTAGTTTGTGACCTCCCGAGTGAAAGTTGGAAAAAAAAACACTCGGGAGGGACTCTAACCCACGACCTCCTGCTGTCCAGTGCAAAATATCTGTTTAACACTTGCAAAAATATGTGTAGTCGTGAAGTCCGACAGATTGCAATTCGAATATCTTTTTGTTTTTAGTCTTGTGCTAATACCATTTCATACAATTTGCCAATTTTGCACACAGACGTATTTGCTTTCCCTTTTCAAGGTAGCCCCTAGACAGCCGCGAAAAGAATTGACAAATCAATACTCATAATCTGAAGCATTCACTCATTTTAATTCATACGAAGTGAAGCAATCGCTAATAGTCAAACAAAAGCAAACAGGTTAAAGGGCAATGCTTTAGCAAATGATTTCCAGTAAAAGCCTTTGCTTCATTTTGATTTATATTGATTCGAACAAATGCTTAATTCAAAAATTGCCAGAAAAGTAACTGCTACTTTTTATACATACAACTCATTATCATGCTTGAATAACTTACAGTTATGGAAAAAAAAGATTCAACGAAGTTTAATGATTTTCATGAAATGCCTTACGATGTGAAGGATAAACCGTAGCATTTCAAATTGGTATTTGGGGTTTTTAAAGTATTTTAAGCCATATGTACAATATTATATTAAATTCATATTGCTGAACTGCTCTTTCAACTTTGGTGAGTGAACCTAAAATACATTAAATCAACCACTGACTTTGTTTTACATAGAAAAAAGAGATAACTTTATGCATTATGTTAAACCCGTATACAATCGTTAGATTTGCTGTACAGGGTGAATAAAAAAAAAATGCAACAAATATATCACGGAATGCCAGACGTAGAATATGTAACCAACATAGATACTACTTTAGGTATAGTTTGAAAGAGACACCTTTCCACTTTAAAATGAGAAATAAAACGTCCAAATCCGATCGTTTTGACAGAATTATGAGTAATTTTCCTAGAGCGGTCAAATTAACCATGTGATCAAGTATTACATTTTATGCATTGGGACAAAGGTAGCCTCATTGCTTTTTTTGTGGATATTTGCCTGGTCTACACAAACTGTATTTAGCGAGCAAACACAATTCTAAACACTTTCTTGCTATCACCTCATGCTTAACATACATCGCATGTAAACAAGTTTGATAAACTGATAGCAACAATTGTGTTAGTTTTGTGCTAACTCGCTAAACTCGCTTTTTTGTAGACCAGGCATATTATTATCGACACAGAGGCGATTAGGCTACCTTTGTATGATTATTCATACAAGGTAGCCTAAGCGCCTATGTGTCGATCAGTTATACACACTGTATAGGCAAGACCGGCGTAAATTATTCTTTTTATGGTCAAAATGAGCACTTTTGGTATCTAAATCATACAGAAAATGATCCTGAGCAGAGTTACTATGACCGCTCATTCGCTTCTTGGGCTTCATCCAGTCCATTCGTTTTATTAAGCTATTTTCAAAGGTCCATATTAATTTTTCGTAATTGTTAGTGCTATCAATCTAGTTTTGCTGTGTAATGCTTGTCTAAAAAACAGATCACATAACAGTGTTTTGTACTGTTCAGTGTAGACCAAATTGTGTATGTCTTGACTTGTTTTTAGTGGTGGTAGCGTTCAATATTTAAATAAAAAACAAGAATCGAATCAACCTGAATTGAACTGTATAGCGTCTAGTATGCTGACTGTTTGCAATGAGTTTTTTTCTTTTCAAGGCGAAACCCCCGTACATTTGATAGAACTGTTTTTAGTTCACCGACTATGTCCTCATCTAATCACAGTACATTTTGACACAACGTCATCCCCAGGGGTAATTTGTCCACCTTGTTTGGGCCGTAGTGCCTAATTCCTCAACAAAATCGGAGTTATCTGTATCAGTGAATGCAGTAGACAAGAAACCATAAGTCACTAACTCATGACTAGGAAAGAAGAAGCATACTTCAACCCGAACGAGTGCTGTGTATAATGTACCATAATATCTCATTAAGGCAAAAATGTAGCCCCATCCCTAAATCCATACAAATAATTAAAGTTGCCTCAGTAATGAAAAAAAAAACTTTCCATTGCAAGAAGAGTAAAGAAGCACACGATAATGATGATCACCTTCCCAATTGACCGCCAATAATCGGTATGTATATACCACTCAGCTTGACAACTTTCTTTTGGCAGCCATAAGAATTTTTTTAATACAAGAATAATTCAAATCACTTTTTATGTACTTTTCAAGTTACGGAATTTTAAACACAACCACCGTTTTAAAATTCTGTCCACGGATCGCAAAAATAGTTCAGTGTTCTTTCAGCAAAACAAAAACAAATCACATTAGGATGTGTGTGAATCGTTTTCGTTTTGCTGAAAG